GTTTCGCGCCTCTAGTGCCGGCCTGGGACAGTCGCGAGTGCGTGTGTGCAAAGTTGTGACAACGCTGTTCAATGGCTCAGAAGTCGTTAGACCGTTCCTTCCGTGGCACTCGGCAACGCTCAACGGCCCTCGGAGACGACGACTGAGCACATGGCATGTGCCATTCGTCAGCAGTAGCTGCATGCGCCCGGCGACAACTTCAGAAAGTCCATCGCCACGCAGTTGGGCCCGACCGATTGCTGCGAGCTCAGGGTTAACGTTCGCTTGCTCGTTGAATCAAGGATTCTCCGACGAGACTCACGCCACTAGATCAAAGTAGATTTGATGGTCCAACAGCGGAATGATTGGCTTTCCATAAATTTTCACTGACCGAGGGAAACAAGGCAAGCTGCAGGCAACCCCTCCCTCTCAAGCTCGTCATCTCGAAAGCTGATGATAATCCCCAAGAAGTAATTGGACCCTCACTGAGTCGTGTGGATGGTCGCCTGGGCCGCTCTCGCTTTTTCGTTCATTTCGTTCATCGATGGCCTCCAAGGTGAGAGGCCCGAATGGCTCACGCCCAAACTGACCAGTGGTCCAGATTCAACTCCAAGGGTTCTTGAAGACAAGCTGTCCGATTATTTCGACGAGTTCAGGACGCGGGCGAGACCACCGACCTCTTGAAGGATCGCAGATTGCTCCGTGGACGAGAAACCCTTCATGTATTGCATTGATATGTGTTCAGAAGGTTTCTCTGCCACGTTGAGTTTCCCCCCTTCGTCCGACCTCGCCTTTCCAGAGATTCCTCCTCTCGAGACAGGAACCCCTCGAAAATTCCTTGAAAGAGGACCGACCGAGATCGAATTCATTGCATAGCGGCGGACGCTTCGAGGGGAATCCCATGTTTGTCACAATTTCTGAGGCTCCGAGCTCATCGAGCTCGCGACGCACTCGTGGTGACGAAATTGTTTGCGGATGGACCAAGCTCATGAACGAACCTCTAACTGACCCCCGTCCAGTTTGAACTCGAGTCTTCATTTTTTATACCACTCGGCCTCTATGGAAATATTTTCACTATTTTTGCTGCTCACGCGTTTTGATGAAATCTGAGAGACTTCAACACAATGGGGAGGAAATACCTCGTCGAAGACCCTTCTTCTCACACATCATCATCGCCCATATCGGTTTCCACAGCCCGCTCGTCGAGATGGATCGCTATAGCCGAAAAGTGGGCACCGACAGCATGGAGTTGTTGCTTATGACGCAATGGAAGTCGATACGATCAGCGTTCTCATTCGACGGACTCGTCCCGCTCATTCACGCGCTTCGAGTCTAGAGCGTATTTCGCGAAGGGACGAGGCTCCGGGAGATACCCAATCAGAGGGGAAACCTCGAAGCTACTCTGATCCCACGCAGATTCATACGGATTTCGCGAATTCGTCTCCCCGAGCATGCAAGTCGAAGACATCTGAAAACCCTACCAATTCTCACCTCATAGAGCACCCTGAAGACTGTAATGACGAATGGTCTGAGGGAGAGAAACAGTTCGACAACAAACACTATTCTCGCATTATGGTGTCAGACTCCTCCCCGCGAGTTCAGCATAATGTTCTCGGAGAATTTCGTCAATTCTCAAAAACTTTTCGAAACTCCCAACTCTCCACCTACCCACCCCTGATGCTATTTTTCTCTACAGAGCGAGCCATTCGTTGGCTCGCTGCTTCCTTCCTTCATTGCTGAAGCGGCGGCTCGTCGGCTAGCTCCGGTCCCTGTGGCTCTTCTCAGCTCCTTCTCCCCCGCCTGTCTCCCCGCACCAATCCCCCGCTCCTTTTGGAGCGGGTTTCGACGAGACCTCTCTCTCTCTCTTTAGAAAGAACCCTTGGGGTTGTTGTCGAACGAAATCGGAATGCTTCTTCGCGATCGATTCTCGTTCCCATAGCAACCGTTGAGAAGGGAGTTTGTAGAAAAATTGCCAAATGTTCCCCCAACACCCGCTCCCGCTGAAAGGAAAAGAAGCTTTTTGCTATATTAGAAGAAAAAACTGCTTCTCGCCCCCGGCGTCCAAGTCGACTTCTTTTGGTCGAACCCCAGAGCCCCTGCTCTATTTTCGGGTCCTTTCTCGTCTTCTTGGGTTGGTCCACGCCGGTCGTCGCGGTTGCATCCGTGCACTTTGCTTCTCCCACGGAACCAGCGCTATCGGGAAGCGCGACGAAACCGCGCATCGAGAAGACGAGTGTTTTTCTTTATTTTCTCTGGCCGCCGCTGTGTTACAGTATCTTCTATTTTGGTCCATTTTCGCTGGTGACGGACGACGTATCGAGTTTCAATCGAACTGAATCTGTCCGGCAATCTTACTTCGTTCCGTCCTCCGTCAGGCTACATTGCCAAACTCCTGAAACAGAACTTGACCGTCGTCCGGGAGTCCTATTTCAGCGGGAATCTCTCGTCGGCTTTTCCGAGTCTGACCGAGTCCGGGTCTCCTTTCCCAACCGTTGGTATCGTTTTCCGCCGAACACATTTCCCGGATATAAATAATTCCCTCACTGCTCTGAAGCATCTGCCGAAACTGCGGGGAATATTCTCTCGATTCCCCCTCCCCTGTTGCTACGAGCATCGGACACGGATCGGATCCGACTAGCCGACACGCAAAAATTGAAAAGGACTTCGTAAACTCGTTCGATGATACGGTCGCATTCCGAACGGATTCAGGTGCTTCGAGCACCGGCTCCGTGGCTGTCTTCGTCGGATCGAGTATCTCGTCTCGACGAAGAGCGGCTCAGTTTAATCGTGCGCAAATGCCGCCCGGAAAAGACCTGATGACGTCGGCGATGTTTCCGCCTGCTGGAGTCCGATTGCTATTCCATATTCGGTCGCCGACTCACTTTCTCACTCACTCCTTCGCACGGTCGATCCGAGGAAGGGAAGAAGGAGAACGGATCGGTCGCCCCGGGAATTCCTCACTCGACAGAGGAAGAAATCGAACGATTTGCTGATCCAGCTGAACTGGGACAGTCTCCGTTCTCCATGAGTCTATCCCCTTGGCGGATGATGCCCGGCACACGTTAGCAGGTTTTTTGTGTTGCAAGCTCTAGTGCTTCGATGGTAAACGACACCTACACGTTTTCACACAGGCGGAGTATAGGCGGTGTACGAATCGACAACATGACGACCATAATGCCTTTGTGCTGAGCGACCCGGAGACGCGGCGAGAATCACAACGAGAAGCTGAGCAATGCTCCGACTTGACCCAGTCGCTGGGTTCGGCTAGATGACACGCATCTAATGGCTTGAAGGGTTCGCCCTAGAGCATGTTCGCTACGTGCTGTCGATCTCGTGCGTAGTACATACAAACACTCCGAAGCTACAGCACGCTGGCTGTTACAGCGCGCTTGCGAAGGCCTTTAAAGGGACATTTAGGCGTTATCTGGCTCCGCCATTGAAGACCAGGGCTACAAATCGGAATTCGTAATCACGCCTCCTCCTCCTTCTCCCTCTGCGCCCCCACCCCTCTGCCCGTAGAATCAGGTGAATTGGAGACTCCTGCACATTTGTCTCCTTTTCTCCTCGCCAGGATCCGCCTGCGCTGCTATTTTGCCGGACGAATCCGCCGGCTTGAACCTTAGCTCTGATCGGGACTTCAACTCCCGACTCGGATCGAATCCCTGAAGGCTCATAAAATCCAATGGATTCACGCAGAACACTTCCAGCTCAGCTGCAGTGGCCGAATCTCTCGAAAGAGTACTTTGTATTATTCGAGCACAAAAACACCGACAATCTAAAACCCAGACGCGTTGATCGCGGCAAAGATGCAGAGATTCTCTAATTACTTCTTCCGTTTTCCTGCGCGACTCTCTCGCGGGAAAAATAGGCGAGAATACTAGCACACATGTTCAGTGGATCCTCGGGGAAAAATTGTGGAAGTCTCTGGATCTCTCTTTTTGTGCTGATCAATCGCACAGCACGCAATAGAAACTTTCTTGTAAGGAGAGGGGCCTGCCAGGAGGACCATCGACGGAGCGGCCAGTCAGTCAGCCAGCTTGGGAGTTTGATTTCTGTTCGACTCCATCTCCGGGGACCGAGTGCCTTCTAAAGATACCACGCCGGCAAGGCAGCCGACCGGCCATCACAGTCGACGTCAAATTGAACCTCAGGGAGGACAGATCGCTCCGCTGTGGAAAGAACGAATGATGGCGAAAACCAATCCTTGCCAACTTTTCTCCACACGGGCTCTCCTCTGAACTAAGTCGGCCGAGCACCAGCCCCAGAGAAGCCTCCATTTATGGCGGGGCGTCGAAGGGAAGTTTCCGTCGATCCCGTTCCTGGTCGATACAGACAGCGGTCGAGACCAGAGTGGTCTAAAACTCAGCTCCGATTGATGGATCGGGGGACAGACGGACGCGCCATTCTTACGACCGGTCTGTCCTCACTTTCGTGATTTGTTCGCGAGTCAAAAAAAACAAGCTCGTGCTTCAAGTTCGCGGATAGAGAGAGAGAGAGTGAGGGGACTCGGACGAGAGGAGATTCGGAGAGAAGATCCGCGGCGCGTGGCTTCAAGGTCACCAGAAGGTTGCCGAAATTGATTGGGTGGAAGGCAGCAGGTGATGAAATGAGCCTGAACGATCCGAAGTATTCCCAGACCGATTGATCAGAGTCCACGAGGGCCATTAAACTATACTTTCGAATGGATGCTGACTGAGGCGGGAAATCGCCGTAGGGCCCCGAACATTTCTGTGATGTACGAGTTTTTTCGAGACGTAGTCGGAAGAAGGTCGAAGCTACATTTTCCGCTGGGGGCTTGTATAACCGATTAGATACTCGATAGACTTGTTATTATTCTACATCCCGCCCAGACCCAAATTCACTCGAATTCACAGGGGTCGGGTGCGCGTTGAATTGTTTTTGAGCTTCAATGGAGTGCGGAGCCGCCGTCGTTGTCAGTGGGTGTGACGTGCGACATGGATTCGAGCTGACAGTATTTGAGGAGGGACTTGAGTCTTCAACAATATTCACCTCTCTTTCAGTCTGTCATCCAAATGCCTGGTTTCCGCAGTCTTGGCGACGATGAAGAAGTTGAATTTGAATGCAAAGTGTCCGATAAAGGCTTCGAAGCGACCCTGGTTTGTGGGCCAGGGACTGGCGACTGTAAGGGTTCCCATAGGAGACCGATGTCTAAGAAGAAATTCCGAAAAGTCAGGTGCGTACCGATCGGGATTTGAGCCCGTCCACCAGAATGCTCCCCACCGATAGTTCCCGGGATGTAATCACCTCGACTTTCTCCCTTCAGATGCTATAATTGTGGTGAATTCGCGAATCACATCGCCGCCAAATGCAACGAAGGCCCTTTACCAAAGCGATGCCATCAGTGCAAGTCGTCTGAGCATCTCATAGCAGACTGTCCGGCGAGAACGATCAAACTCGGAGAGAATCAGGAAAATGAAGATCATCCAGAGGAAGAAGTACCGACCGGGAACGCTGTGCATTCAGGTAAGATAGGAAGCTCTCTGCGGGATTGGCCTTCGCCTCATCGAGGACATGTCCATAGGTGTCTGGCCTGTCAGGGGTACTGAATATGCATCGAATTTCCCATGGAACCTATTTTTTCAGATTCCGGTTTAGAGAATCAGAGCTCCGAGGAGGAGACCGACGAAAAAAACAAGGAATAATTTCTCCGTCCGACGTCAGGAAGCAAGGGGAATAATCTGCCCGGCTCTTCCGAAAGCGGAGCGAATAATCCAGTTCGTAATCTTGTAAATAGACGCAGTGTTTGAGAGAAACGTCTCGTGAGGCGAGAAGAAACTCTCGATCGCAACTTTCGAGAAACTCGATCGAGAATCGTCGTCCGCGCAGAAATACCTCATCGGAAGGACGATGTCTTGTTTCGACTCCTGGGTTCATATTTGTTCCAATGTTGATTCCCCGTTATAGATTCATTATGTCTTTGTGATCACTATCTATCACCCATTTTAAGCTGCCTGAGATGCCGACTGACGACCTCTCAGCCGGAGTCGGTATGCGGCAGCTTTTGTGAGAAACTCTAGTCCTCGAGTGTTCCAGACCGCATGCGGCGGAGCACTGACGAGAAACGAACGTAGATCGGTCATTTCCAAATAATTATTTTTCTCCTCGAATGCTGAGAACTTGTCGCCCGGTCCCTCACTAAGACGACAAGGCGAAGCGTTCGCGAATGTTTCCGTTGAATTCTCTCGCAGAGCGATCACCGGTTTGCGACCGGGGCGCGATCTTATACAAGGAGCTGTAAGTTAGTCTCGTCTCTAGAAAGAACGTCTTTCTGAGCGGAAATCAAAAAACATCCCGGACGGTGGCGGAGAGCCGCTGTCCAGCAGAACAACTCTGTATATATAACTAAACTTTAGGTATTCTGAACTGATGTATAGATCTGAATCAGCGAGTGGAAACGAATAAACGAACTTCTTATGGATAAGTAGAAAATCGAGTGTTTTATATGATGGTGTGGCGAATGAGGCGAAGCTCAATTCGAGTACTCGCGAACCAGCAAGAACCCCCTCCGAAACTTCGAAGTATCTCGTGTGAGCCGCCTATCGGAGGAAAACCATGTGCATACCAAAAACCTGCTATTCGCTGACTTTATTCCAGCAACTTAGGGCTTCTTGTCCGTTTGCGGATCTTCCTCGCGTTCAATATCAGGGTGCTCCGGTATGCTTTGCAACTCTGTCCTCGTCTCCACTCCTAATTTAGCCATGTCTACGGGGCTTTCCGGATCCATAAGCGTCAAGGGCATGTAGTACTCTATGATGAGTTCCGCGTCCCGTACGTCCAAGTGAAATTCCTTGGCGGCTTCAGCTGCTGTATATTTTGCGGGGTTGCTGTAGTGCTTCTCTAACAAGGATATAGACTGCGAGAGCGAGAGTTTCCCTTTCGGTACGCTCTTCGGTTCCACGAATCCGTATGCAGGTAGTGCACTCGGGAAGCGGTCCCTGGGAAGATTTTCCTGAATCCGTTTTATCTCGGGCTGGAACATAGAATTAGGTTCGATTCATCGAGTTCTCTTCGGGATCCATCAACCTCGTTCGGCATGTGCATAAAATGATCAATGACGCCCATGGCGCAGGTGATTTAGAGGTGAATGAGAACGAGACGCGGATATCGAAGATAGAGGGGCGATGCTAATTGATGATATTCGCTCATAGCGGATTTTCTCCTAGCATCAAACGAGCTGTGCAGGGATCACCTAGATAGAGATACTTCTGCATCGCGACCCTCGCGCTGTCGGTCTGAAACGATGTCGCAGTCGAGCTCGTGGCCTCGACTCCGGAGTCGAAGCATTCATCTCCGATCAGAAATGAGAGTCGCTAAGCTAATCTCCGCGAAAAGTGATTATGACGATCATCTTGACCACAATGAGACCCAATAACTAGGAAATCGCCTGTGACAGCAATGATTCCCTGATAATGATCGATGGAGATGATGATGAGAACCACCGTTATAATACGCATGTCTGTGATTATAGCAACGATCATAAGTATGACCACGATATTAATCATACGCATGTGTGTCACGACGACAAAATCATGACTACGGCGGAAATTCGCCCAACAGTTCATCTTCGTCGTAGGCTCCGGCTTACTCAGAATCCGAGCTAACTCTGCGATTCTCAGGAGAACTCGAGCGCCGAAAGCGACCTCGTAAGACGGTTGGGTCAGATTCGGCATGTTCTGACTCAGAAGTACGAAAAAAGGGGGAAGCGTTCCGCGCCGTTGATGCATCAGACTCTCCGGATCCACATTCATACTCACATTAACTCCATCAGAGACAACTCGGACATCTCGCAGGCGTTCGTTGAGAGCATCGCTTCTGGAGACAATCTTCGAGCGAATTTGCTCTGGAATTCAGCAAGAATAAAGGGATTAGAGCTTTTGCGAGGGAGTCACCGACCGACGAACGTTCTGGGGTTGACCAGTGTGTTTTCGTGGTTATCAATTATAATCTTTAATCGATTTCTCAAACTCCACCAGGTCGGCTACCTTACCTTGCATTTCTTTGGGCAAATCTTGTTGCGCGGTCTCATAGTGGGGCGCCTGTACCGGTTTTTCCCGGGAAAGTACTCTCTGAGCCCGGTTTTCGACGTTGAATGACCGGAACGGCTTCGTGACGGTTCTCCGAATCGCGTTACCCATGCCGGTCTTCGAATGCCTTGTACGTGGAAAAGCAAGTCGTGAGACTTTAGGAACACAGCCACTCGTGGAGACAAAGAGTCATTCGAAACTCTGAACCCGGAGACCAATGCGCGATTCGTCTGTTCGGGTGGCGGAGAGACATGGCGATGGGGCCGGCGGATAACCTTAAATCACGGAAGACGGCATCTCCCACTTGCTCGGGATAATATTTCGCAGCCACGATGCCCTGCAAGACCGCGATTACTTCGGGGTAGGATCATTTGGGGCGATCTCAAAGTTTATTCCCTCGCCCTCTCATGCTCCGTTGAGATGAGATCCCATTGAACTCAAAGAGAGGTCTTGACCTTCGATCCGTGTCTGCGGAGCGGTCCGCGTTTTAAGGGAAGTAGCTGGAACCAAAATATTGGCGCGTGCTTCGTTGCTGGGCTCCGTGCCTTCGGCTGACAGGTGAAAGGGTGCATCGAATTTTGTTTCTCCACGCTGGACTCACCTGGAACCTCAACCCCCACCGGAGATGGGGAATTTCAGACAGCATGTCAATCGGAAGCGAAAGGAACGCGAGAGGAAACGGAACCGGAAAAACTCGAAGCGATTACCGATGAAAAAAGAATCAACAATGGAAAAAGCTGTGTTGAGCGCCTTGAAGATCGGCTCAAGTGAACCCAAACGGCATTCTCGGAAGGGTAGCTCAACGTCCAGATGTCCACGGGAGGCACCAAAGAACAGTCCAGGATCGAGCGTCGGCAGTGACAAGCACAAGAGTAGCCTGGCGAATCTTCGGGTGGATCCTGCTAAGAGACGAGATCCTCCGAGCGAAGCGGAGCTGGAGTACAGACTAAAACATCGCACGCTGCTCAGAGGGAAGAACGGCCGGCTGAAGGACAGCATCGAGAAGCTGGAGAGGAATTACCTGTTGTTCGGCTTTCCACAGGAAGATCTCAAGGAGATGAACTCTGATGGCTCGTCGGAGGGCGACGATGAACCCGCGAGCCGCAATCGGAACTCTTTGGCTAGGGAAATGAAAAAACTTGAACTTGAGCCCGCCAAAGAAGACGATGAGGACGAGATCATCGACGTTGTGAATTATCCCACTATCGTGGGAACGCACGGCAGCAAGGCGCTCCAACAAATGAGAGTAGCTCAGTTCCGGATGATAAACGAGATGCTGTATACCTCCAAGAGTGACGAGGCAGAGCAGCTGTTCAATGAGGACCCGAATAACTTCCAAGTGTACCATGAGGGGTATCGTCACCAGGTACGTCTCGTCTGACATGATATCGTTGAGAACAGAAAAAAAGCACGACGGCTGTGGAGTCGAAGGGCCGTCGAAGTTTCATCACGGAGCGTAGATCCCACCCAAGCAGTTGATTTCGATTGAGTCTGTTGTAGCCCGCATCCGCTAAAATGGTTCATCATCTTGCCGAGCAGGTAGGCAGATGGCGCCTGAATCCCCTCGACAGAATCATCTCGGAAATCAAGGAGTCGTTCCCTCGAACCTCAAGGATCGCTGATCTCGGTTGCGGAGAAGCTAAACTGGCCGAGGTTCTCAAACCTCTCGGATTCCAGGCACGTCCAAGCACGAAGGAATTATTCATCGACGGACCTTCCTTCCGGGCATGTCTCCGCTAGGCTCACCCTTCCCTCATTCATGTTGCAGATTCATTCTTTCGATCTCGTTGCTGCGAATGAGCACGTGGTGGCGTGCAACATACGGAACGTGCCCTTGGCGGCTGAAAGCGTGGACCTGGCTGTCATGTGCCTTTCGTTGATGGGGACTGACATGGGTCAGTTTGTACTTGAAGCGAATCGTATTCTAATACCAAAGTGAGTAGAATTGACGAGAGTCCTGTCCCCACGCTTTCTCCTTTGTTCTTTTTGCCGACCAGCATCTCCCTCCCCCCTGGAACCGTCGCTGACGATAAGAGAGAATAATAGATCCGGCATTTTTCAGCGGCGAACTTCTGATTGCGGAAGTTGAGAGCAGAATGCCATCGGTCGAGTTGTTCGTGAAAGCTATGAAGCGGTACGGCTTCGCCTTGAAATACAAGGATACAGCTCGTGTCTTCCATTTCTTCAGTTTTCGAAAATCGAAAACCATGCCTAGAGGAGCGGAAAATACCATGGACAATGTTTTGTGGCTGAATCCTTGTTTGTACAAAAAACGCTGATATCGGAGTGGGTTGTGGTGGTTCCGCGGCTTCCCTGGCTACCGATTGGGAATTCCCGCGGGAGATATATATATATATACACATATAAACATTAACTCGGGGATGTCTGTCCCAAAGCGAAGCTGAGTGTTTTCCCCGCCATGGAAGACATCCGGAGCGTCTCTTCCAGGGAAGAAAGTTATTGGGAAGAATTCACTAGAACGGATTGAAATCAACTTCAAGATTTATTAACTTCGTCAGTGTATTTTTCCCATACTTGTCCATTTCGACATCAGAACAATTAAGTAACGTGACCACTGGAAAATTCCTTCCAGCCCACGAGGGAAATGCGGGGAATCGTAGAGAAATCGACCATCTCGGTCCAAACTAATCCATGAAGGAATTAATAGAATAGGCGACGAATCGGCTTATTCATGCTCTCAGAGGGGCCACTCTGATAGAGCTCATTGAAAATTCCATCGACTTCCGAACCCTCTTCGCGAGGGGAAACCTCTTGCCAGGCCCTATTTAATCGAATATTTCTCGGACCTTGGTGACGGAAGACCTATCCGGATGGTCCTGAGTTCGATTCTACCCTTTGTTATCGACCGATGGGGAGATCGAGCAGGCCTAATCTGGGATCATCAAGAAAATCGAGTCGCTCGGCGAGCGGTCGCCAAAGCCTCAAACCGCAGTCATGATGTCCGACGATGCCCGTCAGGGTTCACCGTGATTCATTTCCACTTGTCATCGTGGTTCGAGTCCGTGACCATCCGGTCGTGGAAGCTCTCGAGCTCATGGCTCATTGCCGGAGAATCAAAATCAATGACGCTTCGTGAGCTAGTACCAGTCCTCGCTTCAGCGAACTCTGAGGCTGCTCCAGCGCGGAGCGGCTGGAACGGAGTCCCCATGAGACTCGTAGTTCAGGATGAATTTCATTTAGAATTTTTAAAAACCTCATCAGGTGAACGGTACGGAACGAAGCCGCCACAGCGGATTTCCGACCACAATTAGCTGTTTACGCGGAGGGTGCTGATAGAAACTTTGATGCGTCTTTAGGAGTAGCAGAGAGTAGAGAACGTTGAGGAAAGCGATCAGGGCGACCTTGTCGCTCCAAAAACTATTAGGTGGCTTGAGAGTTCGAATAGTCGCGCTGGAAGAATGGCCCCCCCGCGCGGCCAGGCCTCAACTGGGCGCCTTGGCGAACAGAGCGAAAGTGAGATCGTACTCAGTGAAACGACACATTTGGAGTTCTTTCTGTTGGAAGCCTTGCACGGCGAGATCGTCGAAGTGTCGAACAGCTCTCGAGGCCACGGAATCCTTCGATGCGAAAACGGTGGCGACACACTTGCTCGGCCTGAATATACGCATCACCGTCGATACGACCTGATCGTACTTGTCGTGAGGGAAATTGGTCTCGAAGCTCACGTAACTACATTGAGCTTCTGGCGTGATGTGAATGGTCATGTAGTGGTCGCCTTTGATGAGTCCGTTCATCGAATAACCGCAAGGGGAGAACAGGAAGTCGTCGATCTTCGCTCCTGGATATATTGTATCGATTCCGGACTTCCGAGTCGCCTCCAGAGCCGAATTTGACTCGGCCTGGGTGAAGATCGACATCACGCGGGGGTCTGCGGACACGTCACGGCATTGATTTTAGGATTTCGCATTCTTTCAGCTTTTCAGGATTTCGCATTCTCAGCGGAGATCCGCGAGGTCAAAAAGGTTCTCTTGACCGAATACGTCGTAAGAGATTTCCCGAAAGAGAGAGAAGCGTCGTCAGACCGCTTACCCAAGTCTTGCATGATGAGCTCCAAGGTTTGGTCGGCACGATTGATATGGTGACCTTGGAGCGTATAGAGGTACCAACAATCTCGATTGATGCTCCCCAAACAGTAGGCATTGCCGTCCTTGAAGTACGTGTCGAGCGCTGCAGCTTCTTCCTCGAAAGAAGAGTGCGGCTTGTCCTGGAGCTCGGGCCTCATGTAGTTCTTTCGTGAGTAAAACACGTCTCGAACCTGGAATGTTCCTCGAAGGTTGGCAATAAAGATCAGAAAATAATACAATGTACTCCGTTAGCCGATGGAAAACTCCGCGAGCCCGTAATATCGCGCAGTGGTAATTTGGTCCTGCGGGGGACGTGAACCTACCTTGTCGAATCCAGTGAACTGGTTCACGATGTAGAGCAGGGCCTCTACACAACATAGCAGTGTTGTGGTCCCGCATGTTTTCAGGATGAAGCGATCTTTAGAGATGAACATGGAGCTCTCGCTGTAAAACGTCGAATTCCGAAATGAGTTCCCTGAGCTCGAACGCCTGTGAACTGAATGGTTCGCAAGGGAACCATAAGACGGTTGGACACAACTTATTCGTGGATCGAAAGTAATGGATAGCCTGTGGCTTGGCCAGTGCCAACCCCGGAGTCCAACGACCAGTTATCAAGCCCCGCTCAAGACCTTTGCTCGACCCCTTATATTGAAGAGACGGAGAAAGGGGATAGGAAACTTATAGTCCAACCGGTGGAATCTTCGCCAACACCGGGACGTTGTTGATTTTGGTCTTGAGTTGAGCTATAATAACCCGCAGCGAGCCCTAAGACGCAGTGAACCTACCTAAGATATCTGGAAAGGAAAAATTAAATGAAGAAGATGCTCATATATGAACGCTTTTGTGAACTTTGTACACGGGAAAGCAAAATACTCGCACCGAACGATACCGAGGACTTTCAATCCATAATTCGATACGTCTATGGAGCTTCGATTCTTCCATTGATCAGCGCATTCAATTGTTTGGGTTTAGAGCGGTACTCGAGCCTCATGATGACGGCCGGTAGAGAAGGAGGAACAAGATCTACGCTCGAGCGATTCGGGATCCACGAATCTCGAAACTCGAGAACACATTTCAAGAGCAAGCTCATTCAGAGAGTCATATTCCGACGGAATTCGCGAATCCTCCGAGAGAAATCGAACACTGAAGTCCAGGCCTGGAGAGTCGAGAGCGATCACGAGTTTCGAAACACGCGATCCCACCGAACATCATGAGTGAAGAGAATCGGTTCTAAGAAATAATACGTTGATTCAAAGATGCGTCTTGTTCTATCGAATGAATCGTCAATTTTCTGCAATGATCTGCTTCTCAGAGAAAGCAGTCCAGGGCTCGACTGCATCATTGTGTCGCCGTCAGTTCTTTGGAAAATAACCAAAGTGTAATATACCCTAGCACCACGGAGTCAGTGGTTGCTCCAGACCGACCGCGCCATCAAGGATGGCATCGGCGGACAGGCTCTTGAGGTCTGGCCGAACACGACGTTTGGAACGGCGGAACATTTCAGGTGCCGGAGACTTTCAACCTCGTTGAACCCATGAAAACTCACACTTTTACCCGGTTTCGTGGAAGGCCCGCATGGCTCCACGATACCGCGTAAAGAGATTCGTTTTCGAGCTGAAATGCACTTGTTAACTCATCCAGTCGAAATTCAAATGGAACAGCGTCAAAAACTCGAAGACTCAAACTCGCCACACTAACTCACCCCTAGGTCATTCACGGATCCCTCCGTGACTGTTATGACCTCCTCTGTTTGAGCTTTTCATCGACCAAGCATGACATCAATTTTATTCATCAAGATCGGACTTATCGTAGAAATTTTCTCGTGAGCAAGTTTAACAGAGGGCGATAGTTCGGTAATCGGTCCCGTGGAGGAACACGATCGATTGAGCAACGAAATGAATTCATGACTAAAAGGCTCTATGCAGGATGCCCATCAAAAACTCTCTTTCATTGTCTGCACTTTCATTCTACGCGATAGAAGAAGCATAAGATATACGACGATTCACAGAGAGTCATAATGAATATGTTAGCAAATTCTCACCTCAGCACGTAGGCGTCTACGTCTTCGTTACTCATTTGAGAAATGATTTCGCACTTGACGAGTTTCAGCATCGATTCCCAGGTAGCTCTGTGGAGAAACCAGTGATTTACTGAAAGGTTCGACTTTTGGAGACGGCGGGCTCTCTCGGGCGTTATCACTGGCTGCAGGGACGGGGGCAAAATACGGGACTCGATTGACCGCTTCTCTGGGTTTTCGTCGTGACTAGAGATGAAACGGCATGACATAGGTAGTCTGCAAGAACAAGCATGCGAGAATCTGACGGTGGTAGCGTGAGGATCTGCATACAAAATCGATGGCAATCGAAAGCGTGACCCATCCGTATCAGCCGTTTAAGCATCGCGATGACTCAACATGATAGCACATCCTGCCTACAGAGCGCAGTGTTTCCACAGACTATCGAGTTCTGTTTAGACCGAATCGTTCCGGAACGATCCGATTCCGCAGATTTCCGATATTGGCAATGAGTCTCCGTCCTCCGACCACATAAACGAAGGTAGAGAACGATACTCTCAATCGCCCAAGCCCCCGAGACGGCGAGCCCATGAATCGAGATTCTAATCCCTTTTTTTGCAACAATGTTACTCGATGCTATCTTGAGCAACAGATGAGCGGGGAGAAACAAAATTCTGGAGTGAGAGCTCTGGTTTCGACCGGTGACGACGACCGGTACGAGTGCATGATCCGGCTGATCGATCGATGTCGTCGTTGGGCAGAATCGGTGTACGTACTTCAAAGAAAACGGCTCATGTACGGTCGTCTCCGAAACTCATTCCTCCGGACAGTTATTGCAGCTCTAGCCCGCAGGAAAATCCGACTCCCTAGCGGAGCTCATGATTCGGATTCTGTGCGATACTGATCTCGGCTGCATTCCACCACGTACAAGGTAGCAGAGGAACTCGAGAGGCTCCGCAATTCGGTCCATGATTACTACCCTAGTCCTAATGCTCTATCGCCCCGCCATCCTGCATAAACAGAAGACTGCTGCGGATAGAATTTGGACTTTCGAGGGGATCCAGATTCTCGAATGTTTCGATTAAGCCCATCCACTTCTGAGATACCGTCCGAGAGCGATGAGACAGGGCGCGCTGCTTGAGAGCAGCATCGAAATAGATCCATGAGACTTATTCGGAGCAGAATCGGATGATATTTCGGCATCGAGAGCGTTGGATCGATCGTACCTTTGAGAACCCTCGAATCTCGACCGAGGGAGAACGCACACCTCCTGAAGAATCGGAGAGCTTTTGAATAATTTACTCTCGATTCACCGTTGTTGCTCAGGGTCAAGCCAGGCTGCATAGCGAAATTACCGGGGAAGAACAGGCGAAGCCTTATCTTGAGGAAGCGTGCTTCGAGCCTACCAAGAGAACGCAGCATAGTCGAACATTTATCCGATGCAACAATTATTTCAAAAATGGTTGTCAGTCTCCCAGAGCTTCCTCGCCTTTCCGAACAGTATAGCACGGAATCGTAATATAGAAATAGAATAGATACCAGACAAAACCAGCTCCACTCGGCGGACAATGCGCAGCCCGATCACCGGCCGCTCAGCTGCTGATTTGTTTCAGTATTCGGTGTGTGCACAATCCCACCGAATTACTCCTGGTTGCGAGGTAGCCCGCGAACGCTTTTCCTTGAGTATATTCGTGCGAGCTCCTCTGAAATCCCCAAACTCATAGGAGCGGATATTGCCCATCTAATATGACGGGGTTTATTAGGCGAAGATTCGAACAGACAATTTTCTTCTCATACAGCGAATCAGTGATGCTCCGCAAAGTCAGCTCAGTCATCGAGCTCGCATCGAGGTTATATAGTGGGGAGCACGGCCAAGGTATCCGCAAACCGTAGATGTAGAGGTAGTTCCAATAAGCCGCCTCGACTCTCAATCTCGGCATGCGATAATGGGCCAGTGAAAGAATTCTACACGAGGTCTCTATCGCGAATAGCACGACCCCACTCATGCTTAATGATAATGAGCCACGGATATCGGCGTTCGGATCGAATTCCTGGGGTCTGGACACGTTCTCAGATACTGCGGCAGAGCTTTCCTCCGAAGTTCACGACTAGACCTCGAGGTGGGGCTTTACAATAGAGGAGAGTATACCGATCATTTCGCTCGAGGTACTTGGCCCCCAAAGTCATGAATCAATATTCAAATCGGATGATTTGCCTTCCGGATATAGAACTAGATGCAAGAGTCCGACGAAAAGTGTCTCGCAGTGCTTCAAAACTTGAGTTTATTATCCGTCGCCGATTCTCGTCATCGAGCACCGAGCTTCTCTAACCTAGATACGATGGGAATGTAGGTACATCGAGATGAGCCCGATCCGTCGGAGAGAAAACGATTCTGCGTGAAGGAGCCGCGAGGAACCCATCTCCGCGATGATCGACAAAGATTCGAATATTTACATCGGACAGCTCATGAACCGTTAGATTTCTCCGCGCGGAAAAGTGAGCGTAACAATCGTAACGCATCAGAATCTTTACAGCGCGAGCGATTCGGATGGACATCGACCACCTATCTCTCGTCGGAGTTGAGTGATGACACTCGATCTCCGCGCGATCAAGAATGATACTGACCTGCGAATGACTCGGAGGTCGCATTTTTTCGGACCTTCATTTCCAGAGCGGGTTCCGAACCAGACCTCAAGTAGCTTCTCGGTGCCTTCGAAAAAGTCGCTCTGGAACTCTTCACTGGATTCACTCATCTCGTTCCCGGTACACTGGGTACTCTGCTCAACCGAAGTCTGTCACTCGGATTTGCGACAGGAACCCGTCTTCCGCGATCGCACCTAGAAGAAGGAGAGGAGGATCGACAAAGAGAGGATTCTGCAGTGAACTCCGGCGGCGGTGCCACAAAACACCACACAGTACCACGAAACAGTTTCGAAGGGGCATCTAGTCGAGAAACGATGAGCCGTCGGTCTTTTACCAAACTTTCGATGGCCGGCAACTCGGAAATCTCGTTGAGACAGCGGGCCGATGACCCCTGTTTAAAGGGCAATGAGCGCAACCAGGATGACCGGTTGTTCGAAAGAACCGGGTTGCGGGACAGGGCTCTATGGTAGCATGGGTCCTGTAGGGCAACACGACTGCTCTGCATTGACTGTCTGACTGGTGATGGCCGCGGCTGGAGCATGTGACGTTACGCGCATAACGTCAACATCGTCTCTAACGATCGATTGCGGGATATGTCCTCGCCTCTCACTTAGTCCCCATCGAGATTGATGGTTTGACGTCCGCGAGACTCCGCTGAGCTTAACGTCGAGACTCGAAACTCCAGCCGATTTCGGACACGACGGTCTGGGGCTTCTCACGCCGTACTCCCCCCCGATCCAAGGGAAGCTCCACGAGGATTCCACCTTGGGGAAACCCTGGGGAATCTGGCGATTCCGCTCTACGACTTTCGATCCATTGGCCTAGTGTTGCCAAGAACATTCCGAATTGCATTCCACCAGACATGCATCGCGTTCTTAGAGAGCCTGAGCGTCGCTTGCGGCAAGTCGTGCTCGGTACGGCGGCCGGCAGGCTCCGCGCTCGACCATTGGGCGCGTGACAGAAATGAGGATCGGCAGATTGGCACACGACAACACGACTCCGGGTTTTCTGCGTCTTCCGTTCCAGCTTATGTCGATCATTCCTCAATAACGAATCCGGGCAACGAAAGGGATCCATTCGTAAGGTAGGATGGAGTCCTAGGTTCAAGGGGGGAATCGGCGAGCCTTCGCGCGACAGAGAGAGTCGGGTGAGCGGTCATGTCATGGGTCATTGGGGGAGCTGGATGCGCTCTCGGCTCGATGGCGAATCAGCGCAGAGTCGCTAAAATTGGGGAACTTCTCTTCATGATGACGAAGTCGTATGTCATCCGCTTCCTATGACCGATGATGGGCTAATGTGCTCAGAGCACCGGGATCCCCAATTATGTTGAACGGGGACGGGTATCCATTCAGTACATTGGAGCTGCCAAGGGGCGATCTCTCACTAATTCTCAGTCGCAACGCGCACCGAGCAAGCGATTGCTAAGTATTTTCCTCGATCCGCAAAGCAGAGCGACAAGACCTAATTCAGCCGTAAACATCATCTCTAACAGACTGCAAACTGCGAGTTCTGGAGTGTTTGCAAGAAAAAAATGCGAACTGAATGAAAACAACGAAACAGTCAAGGAACGTGCCGTTTCGTATGAAAGCGACGAATCGTAGCCGGAACATATAAAGTACAAAAAATGGGGTAAGTAAGTACCTCCTGCTCCCTCCGCAACCAGGATTCCGGCGCAACTTATATCAATCATGAAGCTAGCCCTCCCCAGTAAGCATCATAGCTCTGGATATTCGTCTACCACGTGAATGGTTCACGTTGAGAAGAGACAAGACCACTAACGAGAATCACTTGGGGCCCTCGTGTCGTCCCCCTCCGATTCTCCGGGGCTTCGAAATCATCCAACGCATTGAAAGCGCCCGATGTGACTGATCTCCCGATCAGATGATCCTCCCGTGTCGACATATATCGATCGCTAGTTCCGGTGTTCGCCGCGACGGTCGAGCGGCTTGAATCAACATCCTATTCTCTGCTATGATCCTGCTGACTCCCGCAGACAGCTGGCGTCGTCGCTCGGATCTTGGTCTGCTCCAGGACATCCGGACTCCAGAGCCTCGGGAAAAGTAGCCCGATCGCAGATCATTGACTTTGGCCGAGAACCCGAGCTAGAAATAATAGAAGGTTACTTTGCATGGTGCACGTAGGCCACAGAGGCACTGCACTCTCGGGCATCCGCTTCTTTTCCTCACGATTGGAGGGAGTGCGGAGATTCAAAGCAAGCGCGCTCGGTGGCGCCACAGACGCGCATGCGCTTCGTCGAGTCACCTTGACCAAGCCAATAGCATCAGCGATTCACTCAGTCGACTACCAGCGGTCGAAGTGTGAACCTCAGTCCCGTACTGAACTCTTTTTAAGCTTGACAATGGCGAAAATCGGAATCAACGGATTCGGTCGTATCGGTCGCCTTGTGCTCCGCGCTGCCCTGGAGAAAGGCGTCGAGGTTGTCGCCGTCAACGACCCGTTCATCGATGTCACCTACATGGTGAGTGATTCGTACTTGACCCCAAGCATGACCCGATGCGGTGTTCGCATTGCTCGCTCGGTCCATTCGTCGACTCGATTCAACTCGTCATCGAGTTCATCTGTGCCCAAGCGCTAAATGCGATCCTCGGCTCTTCCGCGTGGTTCTCATGCAGTAGGCGATGGCGTGGCGATGCCGGCTGTCAAGTGGCGTGGCTTCACTATCGCTGCGCGGAAACGCTGAGACTGGACTGCGGATGCTATTCCCCGCATAATATCCCAACGAGATCTGGATGAGTAGCTCAGATTTCCCTAATTTGTTTCGAAGACAGCCTCTTTGACGACGATGAACATCGAATTCTCGTTGACCTCCACTCGATAACCCATGGCGTCGTCCGAGAGGTTGGTGTGAGCTCCTGTCACCTTCGGGAATTCTGAGTCATCGCCAATGTCGCGGCGAATCGCAAACTCTGGGAGAGTCGGGAGGGGAGATTTTTGTGTCAATCCGAGAGCGGACTGCGAGCCCTGTTGTTTTCTTGCGCGTGACTTTGCCTGCGTCCTCGAGAGAATCTCGATCGAGTGTTTATGGACAATGCTCGAGTCCGGGCTTCGTTGAGCGATGAATCGAGATCCTTCCCAATCTTATCGTTATCCCTAAATGCTCGATTTTATCGCGAGATGCCATGCTCCTCCTTGGGATCATTCGTGACCGATGCTGAGTCATGAGGACTTCCGAGCGCATCCAATGCGGCCAGATACACGGAATTACGCACGTCTCCTGATTTGTTTTTTCGTTCAGAATCACTAAAATTCACATTCTGCTTCTCAGGTCTACATGGTCAAATATGACTCTACCCACGGACGCTTCAAGTGTGACGTCCACGAGGAGGGTGGCATGCTCGTCGTCGGCGGCAAGAAAATCCAAGTCTTCCAGGAGTCTGACCCCACCAACATCCCATGGGCGAAGGCCGGAGCTGAATACATTGTCGAGTCTACCGGAGTGTTCACCTCTCTCGAGAAGGCGGAGGCTCACCGAAAGGCTGGAGCGAAGAAAGTCATCATTTCAGCCCCGTCCCCCGACGCCCCCATGTTCGTCATGGGTGTCAACCACGACAAATACGACAACAGCATGCACATCGTGTCGAACGCCTCTTGCACCACCAACTGCTTGGCTCCTCTTGCCAAGGTAATCAACGACAACTTCACCATTGTCGAAGGTCTCATGACCACCGTGCATGCCACTACTGCCACGCAGAAGACTGTCGACGGTCCCTCGAAGAAGGATTGGCGTGGTGGACGTGGCGCTGCCCAGAACATCATCCCGTCCTCCACCGGCGCCGCCAAGGCTGTCGGAAAAGTCATCCCAGAGCTCAACGGAAAGCTCACAGGTCAGTCCCGGAAGCATCCATATGTTGCCTACACAATTCGATGAATTGATAATTTCGGAAGTCGTCGGATGATTTTTCTTATGCTCAAAGAGAGTCTTTGGTGAGTTATGATTGTGATTTTCCCCCCAAGGAATGGCTTTCCGTGTCCCGACTCCCGACGTCTCTGTCGTGGATCTGACTGTCCGACTCGGCAAGGAAGCTTCGTACGACCAGATCAAAGCTGCTCTGAAGGCCGCTGCCAACTCCGATCAATGGAAAGGAATCCTCGGATACACTGAGGACGAGGTCGTGTCCACCGACTTCCTCGGAGACACTCACTCTTCGATCTTCGACGCGAAGGCCGGAATCTCTCTCTCACCGACTTTCGTGAAGCTTGTCGCTTGGTACGACAACGAGTACGGATACAGCCATCGCGTGGTTGACCTCATCAAGTACATGAAGTCCAAGGAATAAACTCATGACCTTCCCTTATCGACTACTCGAGAGCCGTACTCCGGATCATGTAATGACGCTGGAGTGGGGATACAATCAGGAATCTCGCCGATTTCTCGTCCCCGCACCGAGTTGCTCTTTCATAGCAGCCCTGTCCCGTGGGCTTTTTAGTTGATGTCGGTGATCAAGCTATGTCGATAAAGGCTGTTCGATTATGAATGAGTGTCAATAAAATAAGTCATTCAACTAGCTGAGGCTAACACGAGACTGTCTTTGATCACTCGGGTTCCTGGAAAAATTTGAAGGATTGATTCGAACGATAGACGCATCTCCGGGGAAGCCATTGAGGCGTCGATGCGACGAATAAATGAAATTTTTCGGCATCGAATGATCCTCCGGCCAGTAGCTGACGAAGAGTGGGGAATCAGGTAGCGCCACGAAGGAACGCTGTGACATGAAGCCGTTAAAGCTCCCTGCTCATGGGCGGTCCGATGTGTACGCACGGCCAGTCATCTTGATTTGAGCGTTGGATGGATGCGGAGAATTCGTCTCTCTCCTCCGAGACGGAGACGCGGAACCATGGCGCACGTGCTTTCCGTCGGAATGCACGCTCAAGGTCGCGAGCGAAAGAGCCCAATGAGTTCCGTTCCAGCGTAGTGAACGCGCGGCTCGGGACCCTCCCGAAGGTTTCCCTGTATGCGCGGTCGAGATTCTCTCGACTAGATGGCGCATCGTGAACCGGCGGATAGCGAACCACGGGTGTACCACGGTCGAACCACATCGCTCACCGTCTTTTCGGTGTGTCGACATGCAGACAACACTGGACGGGATGAGCCCGTCCCGCGTTAATCTGACAGGCTTGATATATCGTAACGACGAAGTTATAGTCCCGACTCTGGAACAAACACCGTTACAGAACGATTTTCATTGTCGTCGCCCCTATCATGAATGCATCCGATACTATTCTCCCGGAGAGGAATCCCGGAGAGTTAAAGTTTCGCGCGCTATCCAGAGGAACCCGCGGCGAAGTCCTGCATGTTATGACAGATGCACACGAGCATTGTAGAATTAAGATCGTACTTCACAGGATCATTTCTGTAGTCGATCTAACGTTTCCGCTTGCCGGATTCGTACACCCTGAAGCCTCGATGATGCGTCGAGGGTGTGAGCCTGAGCGTGAAACTGGATTGACGCAACCCTTCGGGGTAGTATCTCTCCTTGAAGATCGTTCGGACCTGGCAACAGGTACGGTGGCACGCACTCAGTCTGAGCGGTTTCAGTTCACATATATTCCAAAAATATGCGACCCTATACCCCACGAGCGGAAATTACATGCGGGATTTTACATTTCTTCCGCGAACCACCGCTCTGCCGTCTCGGAAGAACTGGTTCCGGCTAGATGCGGTGCAGCGGGCGTCTCCTCCAGACGATTTCGGAAGTACGTATGATCACTCTCGGTCTTTATCAATGTTGGACACTCATCAGTCGTCTGAGTCGAATCGATATGCGCCCAGGGTACTTGGGGCAGTAATATAGTAATATATGTAGTTCATTATAAATCTCTGAGAAGTTAATAATATTGGACACTTTACATCTGAAGTCCAATGTGAAGGGGAGCCAGGGAGAGCCTATGTGATAATCGATTGATCGGAGGTTCGCTTGTCCTTCGAGTTGCGAGCTCTGTCGACCGGCGTCGCAAACCACGTTCTCTTTGCGATTCCCGAACGTTAACTCAAGAATAAACTGTGATTCGGAATCCGAAATATGGCACAGAAACAGAGAGGAATCAGAATGAACCTGAGCGACAACCCTGGATACGTGAGGTCCGTCCCTCTCCATTTCGAGATTCGAGGCGAGCCCTCTATCGCTTCCCGTTCCCCCGACGGGGTCGTCATAGTACACATAATACCCCTGCTCTCCTCGAAGATCGGGGGAAAAACTATTTGCTTCAGAGGATCGCCGCATTCTCTTCGCTTCGAGGGCATGCCCGTTCACTCTCGCGGTATCCGATAGGGTGTTTGAGTTCCTGTTCCTTCATTGCCGGACCGAGTATCGATACAAGCCGGAATGGCAAGAACTACAATTTTTCGTCGCATGCAATATTCATCTGGCTCTAATTGCCCGCCGAGCTTTGAGAAGAAGATCTATACAAAAATGATTGTCTCCCGTCATGGAAGAGATTTTTCGTCACAGGGAAGGAGATGGAACGGCGAGGCGTTTCGGCCTCACAGGGACATACCAAGGTTCAATCGATTTCCAAATCGTGCTCTTTGAGACCGAACTTCCACGGGCTCAGATGAAGAGGGAGAGCCGCCCGAAGACGTACAATGGATCCGAAATGATCACTAGCATCATTTTTCGCTCCCTGACCATCAGATTCCGATTTCTAGCGTTTCCATCGGCCTGTGCTAATCGCATGCGATTCCTGAACTTCCCGGCATTGGACAGGTGAATATTGCTCCAGCGGAGGGTCCCAGCCTCCAACAAATTCAGCGTACGCGCCAATTTTTGAACTTATCGCCAACACTCTACTGTACGACGACGCTCGCGAGCGCAGATAATTCCAAACAAACACAGAGCGTCGTTCGAATTTCGATTTTCGAACACTTTCCCTTGCAGCAGAATGTTGGTCCTTCGCCCCAGGGTGTGAGAGCTTTCAAGAAAGCTGGAGAAGTATACTTCTTCCTTCTTCTAAGGTTGGCGATGGCTGACAACATCCACCGTTTGGACGCGCCGTCGGAGCAAGTCGGTGGTCTGATCATACGTAAGAGAGCAGTAGAAGAACATTTGTTCAAGAAACCCGAGCCTCCGAAGAGTGAGTACTCATTCACCCGCAACGCCGATCTCCCCCAGTCCTTCTTTGTTACTGCAGAAACTCTAAGAATTACTCCCAGAGCCGCATCGGCTCCAATTCACGCATTAGATCTCGCCGGGTCCGTGAACCAGGTTCCCGCGTGTGGAGAGTAGCTGGCAAACGCGATCATAATCCTCCGGAAGATGTTCACGACTGAATTTGGGGGAATTCCGTTCACAGGCTCGATCCTCGGACTAGATGTTCTGGCTGCCGAGCGGAGGAAAATCAAAGCAGATGAAGACGCTTCCAAGGCAGGGCGAAAATATAGAGATCGTCTTGATGAGACCCCCACTCACACAGGGGGAGTCAGCGAGAAATTCGTCCGACGCAAAAGAGAATATCACCGTGGAATAGAAGTACGCAGGGAGGACAAAGAGCGAAAGAGGTTAGTCGATTGATTTCCATCGATTGAAGCAGATGTCCCGGAGCCCTCCGAGCGAATGATGAACAATCCATCAATAAGAGGGGCTGCTGCTACAGAGTCATGTCTTTGCATCCTTCAGACATTCCGACCGCTCGACCGGCAGAGATCGTTCAGAGCGTCGACATCGGTCCCGGAGCTCGGAGAGCTCGAGGAGATCCCATAGGTACGACAGCGACTCCCCAAGAAGCCCTCCCAGCCGTGAGAGATCACGTGACGACTCGCGTCGGAGTTCACGTCCTAATTGGTCTCAGAGAAGCGACAGAAGCGCTCTCAGCTCGAGGTCCGACCGGAGCTATAGGAAAGACATCCGAACGCCTCGCAGCATACGGGCCTACGAAACCCCGTCGAACTCACACTGGGAAGAAGATGGGGATAACTTGAGGAAAGAAGGTGAGTCACGTTCATTCGTAGAGACATCTGATACGATCTCCACTTCGAATCGTAGGACGAGGATCCCGAAGGGTTTCTCCATCGAGCGCGCAGGATAACCTTCCTTCGTATTCGCTCAGGCTGGGACGACGAGGATTGGAGCTCGGAACAGGTTCGCCTGGACCGGGAGTGGTACATGATGGACGAGGGCCACGCGGAGTCGGATAACCCGTTCAATGACGTTGCGCAAGAATACATCGACAAGCGCGAACAGCAACTCGAAGCCCGAAGGGTAGGCATTAGCACGACTCACCATCCATCACTCACTATCATGTACCTAAAAGACTTCATAGAGAACTCGAAAAGAATCACCCGAGAGTGAATAATCATATACTCCACCCCACAGCAAAAGAAACTATCAGCGAAGCAGCGTCAACATAATGCTGATAACGAGAAATGGGAGACAAACAGAATGTTGACCTCGGGTGTCGTTCAGAAAACCGAGTTAGACGACGATTTCGACGAAGTTGCCGAGGCCAAAGTTCACGTTTTGGTGCACAACATCGTGCCCCCGTTCCTCGATGGTCGGATCGTGTTCACAAAACAACCCGAGCCGGTGAATCCTGTCAGAGATCCCACGTGTGACATGGCAATCGTCGCTAGAAAAGGTGGGCCCCCGATACTTGCTTGTAATTTGCCTTTATTCTGCGTCCTGAAAAAAGGTTGCTGGTCGGTATCTTTCGCCTCTTCACCTTTTTGATCTCTTTCGGGACATTTTCAGGCAGTGCCGTGGTTCGTTTCTTCCGCGAGCAGAAGGAGAGACGCAAAGCTCAAAAGAAGGAGTGGGAACTGGCGGGAACGAAACTCGGGAATATACTCGGTGTTAAGAAAGAGGAGGAGGTCGATCAGCCAAAGGATTACAAAATTGAGAGCCGCTACGCCGACCACATGAAAGAGGAGGAGGCCGCGAAATCGAGCGAGTTCGCAAGGAAGAAGACAATTACTCAACAGAGACAGTATCTGCCCGTTTTCGCAGCCAGAGAGGAACTCCTCAAGGTGAGAACCTGACCGCGGGGTCGGAGCTCACCCCCAGCTCTACTCGTTTGGGTATTCCCCACTGTCAGTGCCTCTGTTCTCCAGAGATGCTCATTGATTGGGGCTTTTGAATGATTTCTGTTCTTCCGGATACCTGTAGGTGATTCGAGACAACCAGGTCGTCATCATCGTCGGAGAGACCGGCTCAGGGAAAACCACTCAGCTCACCCAATATCTGCACGAGGATGGCTACACCAAATACGGAATGATCGGTTGTACCCAACCGAGACGAGTGGCTGCGATGTCAGTCGCTAAAAGAGTCTCCGAAGAAGTAGGTTGTAAGTTGGGCGAAGAAGTCGGTTACGCCATACGTTTTGAAGACTGCACATCTCCGAAAACTGTCATCAAATACATGACCGACGGTATCCTGCTCCGAGAGAAGCTGCGTCTACACGATCTCGACAACTACTCGGCAATTATCATGGATGAAGCTCACGAGAGGTCTCTCAACACCGAGGTTCTCTTCGGTCTCCTCCGCAACGTCATCGCCGACCGGCATGATCTCAAGCTGATTGTCACTTCGGCTACCATGGACGCGTCGAAATTCGCCGAATTCTTCGGCAACGCGCCTGTTTTTACCGTACCGGGTCGTACCTTCCCCGTAGATCTGTTCTTCGCCAAAAATATGATCGAAGACTACGTCGACGGGGCCGTGAAGCAAGCGATACAGATCCACCTCCAACCGAGCTCGGGAGACATCTTGATCTTCATGCCGGGCCAAGAAGACATCGAGGTCACTTGCGACCTGATTCAGGAGCGCCTCAGTCAAGTCGAGAACTCTCCCCCTTTGGCAATTTTGCCGATCTATTCCCAACTGCCGAGCGATCTGCAGGCGAAGATTTTCCAGAAAGCGCCCGATGGCATTCGGAAATGCATCGTGGCCACGAACATCGCCGAAACTTCTCTCACTGTCGACGGAATCTCCTTTGTCGTCGACAGTGGATACTGCAAGCTGAAAGTCTACAACCCCCGGATCGGAATGGACGCTTTGCAAATCTACCCGGTCAGTCAAGCGAACGCCAATCAGAGATCGGGTCGGGCTGGACGTACAGGTCCGGGAGTTTGTTTCCGATTGTACACGGCGAGCCAGTACGAGAACGAACTCCTCACGACGACTGTTCCGGAAATTCAGCGAACCAACCTCGCGAACGTCGTGCTGTTGCTCAAATCCCTGAGGGTCGAAAACCTCCTTGAGTTCCATTTCATGGACCCACCCCCTCAAGACAACATCCTAAACTCAATGTATCAGCTGTGGATTCTCGGTGCCTTGGACAACATTGGTCAACTGACACATCTTGGAAGGAAAATGGTGGAATTCCCCCTGGATCCACCGCTCTCAAAAATGGTGATCGTTTCGGAAGAAATGGGATGCTCCGAGGAGATTCTGACGATCGTTTCCATGCTCTCGGTTCCCTCGATTTTCTATCGACCCAAGGGCCGGGAAGAGGAGAGCGATTCGGTGCGAGAAAAACTACAAGTACCTGAATCAGATCACTTGACATTCCTCAACGTTTATCAAAAATGGAAGATGACCCGATACTCGTCATCTTGGTGTGGCGAGCATTTTGTGCACGTGAAATCCATGCGGAAAGTACGTGAGGTCAGAGAGCAGCTGAGGGACATTTTCGTGCAGCAGAAGATGAAGCTCATCTCGTGCGGGATGGATTGGGACATTGCTCGCAAATGTATTTGCTCGTCATTCTTCCACCAGGCGGCGAGGCTCAAAGGTGAGTTCGGGAACGGTGATGACGAAGCGTCAGAACTTCATTTACATTGCCTCATACATCGATACCCGACCCCAATATTTAAACTCGTTTCTCTCCCCGGATCGCAGGTATAGGCGAATACATAAACTGTCGCACCGGTATGCCATGTCATCTCCATCCGACCTCCGCCTTGTACGGCATGGGTTACACCCCGGATTACGTCGTCTACCATGAGTTGGTCATGACGTCGAAAGAATACATGCAGTGCGTAACTGCTGTGGACGGGCATTGGCTTGCCGAACTCGGACCGATGTTTTACAGTGTGAAAACAACGGGGAAATCGAGACTGGAGAAACACCGCGCAGAGAGAGACCATGCCAGTCGCATGGAGGAGGAGATGGAGATAGCACAACAACAGCTGGAGCAGAAGAAAAAAGATCTAGAACTGCAACAAAGCATACGATCATCTAGGAGCGTGATCGCAACGCCTGGAGCGACGCCGCGACTCAAAGGCGCTACCCCTCGCAGGATGGGTCTCTGAAGCAGAGAGAGATTGTTGTATTTACTACGTTGTGATTTGTTATATCGAATGCCCAACATCTGTACATTGAGATCGAATACTATTATATTGCCTATTTGAACGATCCAAGAAGTTTCGTATTCTCTCAGAACTCCTGCTCCAACCTAGCTTGAGAGCTTTCAGCCCAGAGGTCACTGTTTTCGGGGGAAACGGAACCGGTGCTTCGAGGCAGAGACCACTGATACTGCCCGCCTTGCTCTCGCTCTTCCAGGATCATTCCCATTCATCGTACATTATGATCCTGAAAACTCCCCATGAGCTTCCATGATATTCGACGGATATCCGATGCATGAGGCTGCTGCGCTGAGCAGCAGTCATCAGATCGTCTTCAGGAGTTCGAGCGGATGCCACAAAGCGAAATCCGTCTCGCAATGAAAAAAAACGGAAGGATGATCGTGAAAGAGTATCATGAAGAATTTCTGGTCGGGAGATAAGATGAGGAGCACGATTCGAGTCAGACGGAATAAGAGTCTCCGAAAGGAGAAAAATCGTTAGCTCGGTGAACTTGGGAGGGCAAGGGATCTGATACCCGAATCGAGTCTGTTCCTTACAAGATCCGAGTCTGGTCCGAAAGCGGTTCTCGTATTGTGCTCATTGATAGCTAGATACATTCGAGCTTCTGAGGTTCGAGAATGGACACTTGCGAGCGCATGGTTGCGGAAGTGAAGACCGCAAACCAGAGCTGGACGTTCTTCTCTGTCATTCCTCGATCTCTCATGCCTCACGTGGAGCACCTAACCACCGATGTCACGTGGGCACTCGGGTGGAGCTAGACACTTTAACGACTTTGTCCTTGATCTGTCTGTCCTTGACGGGCAGGATTTTGGGGTCCCCTCCGTGTCCCTATCGCATAGGTCATAAGTGAAGTCCCTCCTCGCGAACCTGCTCCCTCGCAGGAACTATAACGATCGTGATCAGACCCCGCGATCGACGTCGCTCCATGTTTGTGCATGGTCTTGTCTCATGTCCCACCGAAACTCCCGATATAAAGTAATCCATCAGCCTATTGGTTCTGGCCCTCATCGAGGATGTCGGAGAATCGATAGCGCTGGAAGATCCCACGGTGACATTAATCTGCATCTACTGACGGAACCACCGTGTTTCTCGTTTCGGAGTGAGTTCCTTCGTCGATCCCACGTCTGAGCCGTGAATGGCAGCCAGGAAAGCCCACAAAAAATCTTCGGTCACTGTTTCCGTTCTGACTCATATCCAGATAACTACTCGAAACGCGGATTTCGTTTTCGTTGCTGTACAGCATGGCGCCGAACTTGGAAAAGGCCGTAGTGTATACCATTTATGGCGATTTCTCAAAGAGCGTTCCGAATGCTCCGGGTATCGTTTGTGACATACGGCAATTTTTATGTGATGCAGAGGGGGTCGTTTGGCTTCTGAGCGATAACTGTAGTAGAAGCAAAATACTCCTCACCAACAATAACTATCAACGATCGACTGGAGCTATCGACCCGTCTCCTCAAACGATAATATATTCTAGAAATCAAAGGAAGCCGTTGTCTATACTGTTGACTCACTGCGTGGTTTTGTCGCGCCGCCGCGGCTGGTGTTGGTGGTGGTCGCCGCTTGTCCACCCTCCTCCTCATGGTGAGGGCCGTTCGGGCCACCGTTGCCGTTCGAGGAACCAATTGTCTGTCAGTCAGTCAGAAGCGCGGCGGATACTTCAGCGATACGTAGTCGATCTTAGAGCTAAACGAAACCAAGGTGAGTCATCTTCGTGTGCTTTTTCATCAAGTCGTACTGTCTGTCAGAACCTCGACGTGCAATCGCTTTTCTCGGAGGCTCCATCGTGACTTGACGCTCGGCCTATCGAGATGTCGAGAGTCTCGGTGCTGGATTTCTAAACCCCAGAGTCGGATATCCAAAGCTTGTCATGTCCGCTTGGGAAGCTTTTCGGCTAGAATGCAGCAGAACCTGCGACCATGCTCCCAATCGCGAGGCGATTATTCTGCGAAGGCGCGCAAAGATTCGAGGTTCCCCATCGATTATTCGAAATCCCCCTGCATTGCGTCTCGCCGGCTGACGGAATGTCTGAAACGTTGACGCGATCGCCGTGGTTCGAGACGGTTAGGGGATCCGATCGATGTGGAGTTTTCGAGCATTTTCTGAACGTAACTCCTAATTTGGACGCTCGTATTTTTTTCTGCACGCGACCGACGCGTCGTCGAACACCCACTCACTTGCACTGCCCGGAATGGGTAGAGCGAATCAGCGAAAGCTTGGAGCGGGATTCTCGCGGTGAGAAAAAGGAGGTGGTGCGGCGAGGTTTGAGGCCATCGAGTTTTGATCCATCGGCAGTTTCCGAGCGGCTAAACGACGGTTGCGCTAAGTTTGCCCCCTTGACGAGTGATTTGGAAATAATCACTTCACACCGAGTGAATATTCAAAACACTCACTCCAGTCGGCCTGAGATCGATGCCGACCGATCGGGGCTGCATGCGGTCAGAGAGATGCCCGACCGCAACGTATACGCGGGAGCGAATCTCGATCGACCACGGGCGTTTTGGAAGCGTCACCCATCCTCAGAACACATCATCGGTCTCGTAATTCACTGCGATCCTCCGTCATCTCTCTGAGGTCTGCGATACCAGCCAATGCCTCCCAATCCCTCGTGGGAAGAATCCCGCCGTCTAATCGACATGATAACGAGAAATTCGAGCGAGCCCATTGCATATTTCAAATAGCCGGATCCAAAATCGCGATGACTACTCCATGGGATAATGCGAGGCGTTCCCGAAGTTCGGAATGAGAGGCGGTTCCGTTCTACGATTCCATTCCACCTTTGCGTAAAAAGAGGAAACATCGCCTTGACCTGCCGCGGTAATTCTTCGCCCATTCCGTCAGCCTGCGAATCGAGCAAGCAAGTGGGTTATGGGACAATCTGAAGCATGCGGTAGATCGTCTCAGCACAGCTCTCAGGAACGGTTCCCTTCATCTCGACAAGAGACCAACCACGCCCTGTCGTACGCCTCCTTCGACCCCGGCTAGGGCTGTCCCCAGACGATTATTTGACCAGCATAGGATCGGAAAAGTGAACTATCGCCGCTCTTTACGCGGGATGATCGGAGCGATGGAGCAAGTGATCGTACGCGAGATTCATTTGCTCCATCCCCGCACGGCGCCACGAAGGGCATCGAGTTCCGCTGAAACGGGTATCGGCGTCGCTCAGACTCCTCGGCGCCGGATCCGGGCTTTCTTCGACCCGATGTCCCGCAACGTTTCACGGAGTCCGGGCTCACCGCCACTGCCGAACCTTCGTCAGCGTCGCAAACGAGCGCACATCGTAGTGCTTCCCGGGTGAAAATACCGCAGTCGAGGGAGCGGAAAGATATTGATCGAATCCCCAAACATGGCGATCGTCAATTCATATTGCAAGGACTTTATTCAGACTTCTGACCTCCTTACCAATCCCGCCTACCCCTTTATCCAAATTCGGAGTCTCGTGTTTTGCTAAATTCGTCGCGTATACCCCGACCCGGTCACCACACCGTGCGGCCAAGGCGAACCCGGTGCTCCAACTCCACGCGAAGGGCGCAATTTTGATAGCCTTTTTCCCAAATCGATAGACTAGGTAATTTACTCTTCCCAGCTCATGAGTGAATGCCTCCGAGGCAGGCTTCATAATATCAGGATGATAGATTTCGCCGTCATCCGAAGTCTCGTGACTTGTCGTGCTTCGCCGTTCACGGCTCACGTTCTGATTCGGGACCTCGTCGGTTGCACTTCCCGCGGAAGGACGCGTTGCCAGCTGCATAATTTAGCGTGAAAACCTACGAGCAGCCGATTCTCCACGGAGCTGTAATAAGCTTCGTTTTGCGCGCAGAATTATTGCATTTACGTTCATTGACTCTGAAAGGGCCCAATGAGCCTTGGGGAGATATAGCGAGAACGGAACGTCAAGTCAAGTTGATAAACATCGAAATGTATCAGAATTCATGCCTCTCCCCTCCGGTTGTTCTGCAAAATTATGCAATTGATGATCTGAAGCGGTATCAGTCGCATGATGCCGATGTGGATAGTTTTTGGGGCTTCTGTTGAGGATCCGTGCAGTGCAGAAGTTATTCGCAAGCCCGGAAATGACTCTCCTCACTTCTGCTCACCTCTGCGCGTCGAGCCGATGTGCGATTCTCGCCGTGGTTCCGGAAGACTTGAACACGACATGTCTAACCTCTTTTTGATGATATTGCAGGCGAACCGCGATGGCCCCTGAACGCCGTCTCCATATTTCCCGGACGGAACATTCGATTCTTGACAACGAGTTCTCAAATGTCCGCGAAAGATTCGACCAGGAAATGCGCTGGATGGAGGATGAGATGGAAAGGTTCCGCACCCAGCTAAGGGACCACGACGTTTTCTCGAAAGGACCCACTAGCCAGGCGAGAACCTACTTCGACTTAAACTCGCCCCTCATTCAGGAGACGGCCAATGGACGTGAGATCAAGCTTCGTTTCGACGTCAGCAACTACGCTCCCGAGGAGATCGTGGTGAAAACCGTCGACAACAAGCTTTTTGTGCATGCCAAGCACGAGGAGAAGAGTGAAACCAAGAGCGTATTCCGCGAGTACAAAAGAGACTTCATGCTCCCCAAAGGTAAGTTTAAGGGAATGCTGAGCTCTTCTGAGATCCGGTCCTTTGAATTTATTCCGAGGGATCTTGTTCGGAGGTCTCAACACCTGCCGATACGACTTCGCAAGAGGATGGAATGATTCCATTAACCCGAACGAATTCTTACAGGAGTTAGTCCCGAGCGCATCACATCTTCCTTGTCTCGTGACGGGGTTCTGACAATCACGGCACCGCTTCCCGCGATCGAAGAAGCTCGCGGCGAGAAAATGATCCCCATAGCTCACCACTAAAAGTGGAAGTCGAAACGGCAGACTGATGTCATGGGAGGTAATTTTGAAGCGACTTCCGCAGACTGTCAGGAGACGACGCGAAGGACCGGAAGGACATAGGAGTCTCACTGAATAATCCACTGTTTGATGCTTCGCACGTTCTTCAAAAACTTCTCAGAACTAGATTCGATCAGTATCCGATTACTCAACAGGACTTCGCCGCGATCAAATTCGCACTTGTTCAGCTTCTGTGTACCCTAGTGAAAGCTGTTGTGAAACTTCAGAGCTGCTGTCGAATTCCGATGGAATGTTTCTCTGATCGTGCCTTATATTGTTTTATTATTATAAGATCAGGTCGTGAATTGGGCCGGGAGGTTCGGGCCCTAGCCGGCTCAGACGTTTTCCACCCTCATCATTCCATCGGGAAATTCCCTCCGGGAATTTTCGAGTTCATCATGGTGACGAGTGGGGAGTGGAGTTGAAAGCTCCCGAGTTGAAATATGGCGATGTAGCAGACGCATTCGGTCGCATCGGGGATGGAGGGTGGAAAACGGCGGTTCTCGACTTCTTGCGATTGGATAACGTAAGCGTAGTGCGGAGTGCCCTTGTTCGACCCCCGTGGCTAGCCTGACTCGGAGAAGAGGCGTCGTCTTTTTCTTGGAGAGAAAATTCCCAACAGCAATATTTCATGACTTATTCGAAATATCCTGGATAACAATTATATATGAATAAAACCGTTGTCCCGAGAGGATCATCCGAAGCTTGTGAACTCTTTCCCAGGAAGTTTCTGTGATGTGACTCCTCTCGATAATCCAAGAAGCTCGAACGGTGTAGGCGATTGCATCGGAGAAAATAATGAGAACACACTTCGGAGTCGGAACGGATTTATTTAGCGTATATTTCTTTGACGTCATGCTCAAAGTCTGTCGTCGAAACATTCTCTTTGATAGAATGACAATCCTCAATCGTTGGAAACCCGTGCAGGTTGACGCCTCGATGGTATAGCACGAGTTCATTTACAAAAACTCTACGATGCTCGATGTCGATTTGAGGTGATAGGTGACGGTGTGTGAAGGATCACCTTGTGATCCTGTAGATACTTAAATTAAAAAACTCCTGCTGTGTGATGAATGAGCTCCCTCATCGTCAGCCCATGGTGTTCGGAATAGTTTCTCAGAACTCTTCCGGCGCATCCCAGTCAGTGTATTGTCTCCGGCGGCCTCTGTTGGAGAGAGGAAGAAACTTAGAGAGCGGAGCGGGGAAGAATTTTGATCCTGAGTCCATCTCTAAGCGCGCGAACCCCGAGACCCCTCAAGCTAAACGCTCGGATCAGTAATGTACAAATGGGAACGAGCAGGCAACGATCGAGGTCGACTAGTTCCCTGAGGTTTTAAGACGCGATTCGTGAGATTTCTCCGTGACGAAGCTAGGAGACTTCCTCTATCGGATCTACATCAAGTATTAGACCGGCATGCGATCAATCAACTTGCCTTAGATCATCTAGAATAAATCAAACTCAGGTGGAACGTCCAAATCGTGGTAGGCCACAACAGGCCGGGGGTCGCGAATGCCCCTGAAAAATACAACCAGTCTCCTCTGAGCGAAAGATCCCTACTGCACTTTTTTCGACGGTTGTTCCAAGCCCGAGTGGACATTCCGACCTGAGAATCGTCGGATAGGAAGCTAGCGAGACGGGTCTGCGGGGTCGGAAACTCGCGCGGTGGGAGACAAACGCATGAGACTCGCGCGTTGGGACAATACAAATGTATAAAACGACTGCTACTGCGTCGAGACTCCCCATCGAGGATTGGCTGAGAATACGCACCTTGGTCCTCCGCCGCCACCGCCGCCTCCCCCTCCACCGTAGCCGCCTCTCTTGTTGCCGCCGTAACGGTAGGGGTCGGGGGGAGGATAACCTCGGACGGGATAGTTGGGATGGCTGTAGCCTGGACGCGGCGGATAACCGTAGGGGCTCGGCCCGTTATAGTGACCATAGGGTCCGAGAGAGATTGATTCGGGGCCGTGACTCGCAGCGCTGGTGTTCCCGCCGGTGCGGGTTCTATTCGAAGGATGCTCCGGTAGGGAGGGTCTCTTCGGGTCCATGATGTAGTTGTTGAAGTACGTCGCCTTCGGAGGAAAGAATATTTATATCTAGGGATGTAAGAAACTATGCACGCTAAATTAACCTCCGTCCGGGAATCTGCGCCGGCCACGTCAGAATACGAAGAAGCGCTATGCACTTACATTCTTCTTGACTTCATCGATTTTTTCTCCGTGTCGATTCTGGATATGCTTGTGGACGAACTCGGGAGCCTTGAACTTCTTCCCAGAGAGTGGACACAAAAATTTGTCCTTATCCAGTTGTTCGCAGTTGGCGTTCATGAACTTCTCGACCTCCTCGTCCTCATCTTTGAATCCGAGCTTCTTCGCCTCGTCGAGGGACACTGGGCGAGCCGGCTCGACGAAGCCGGCGCATTTCTGCGTGAAGTTCGTGACGTAGTCTTCGATCTCTTGGGGCGAGACGGAAGATGTAGGCATGCTCCCTCGGGCGTGTATGATCCCGCATCGGTTTGGCATTTCGTCCTCGTTTTGATATTCACTGTGGGCGTAATAGTCCATCGAGTGGACAATACGAAGATACAGAAGGAGACGGTCGAGAACTTTGGTGAGCTCTTCGTCTTTTTCCAACGAGTTGCCATTCTCAGTTTTACCCTCCTCGAGGTTGCCGCCTAGTAGTTCTTCCTCTTCGGCGCTAGCCTCTTCGATGAGATAGTCGGTGATATTAACGAGGAGAGGATTCTTCGACTCTTTATCCTTCATGTGAAGCTCCCTCTGAGTGTCGAGATTTTGAATGATTTTCGCTGCTAATTTAATATCCGATTTCATCACCTGCTTGGCAGCCGTGATTCCATTGACCGAACGCACTCGACGTGTGAGGTCCCTGTTGAGGATTGCGCCAAGCTCGGTGTCACGGAGCTGTGAAAAAACGAGAACATTCGGAATTCGTGTATGATGATGATGGTCTGAATGATTAATGCTAAATGATGAGGTGACGTATCGATACAGCGATAGGAGCTAATTAGGCCATGTTTAGCTTATTGGAGAAGAAAGATGGGTTCTATCAGCTCACCCGAATATTATTTAGCTTCCAGCATATTTCCTTGGTGTTCACGTTGCGCTCGAACGTGACCCACCCTCTCCGAGCGAATTTCTTCTCGAGTTGCGGGTCGGCAAGGGCGACTCGGAGGAACCCGTTGTAGTTCTTGCACATGGCCTCGACCTCCTGTTTTGTGATTGCGGGGGATAAAGTTCGGAGGAATATCGATGATGTTCGATGCAGGTGGCGTGGTCTTCGAACGGTGTCCGTCTTAGGGCTGTCCGAGATTTTCTCCTCTTCCGGTTTCTCTTTCTCCCCATCGTCATTATCATCGCATTTCTTGCTGGCTTCGGCATCCATAGCCGTTTCTCCATCATCGCTAGACCACGAGCCTTTTGGTTTCTTCTTTGCGGGCTCCTCAGGCTCCTTCGGCTCTTGGCTCTCATCGCCGTTCTTCGATTCGTCAGAACCTTCAGGGGGCTTCGATCTCTCGACTTTTTCGGGTGAGTCGGCCTTGTCGGATCCGACAGATTCTCCACCATCGGGTTTCTTCGATGGTTCAGACCTGATATTCGGAGATTGAGTCAGACGAGGGGCAGCTATGAACCTCCTCACAAATCACAATAATCCATACGTGATAAGTGATAATATATTATGACTCATGATTATTGTTATAATTATTATGATTATGATCATAATAAAGGGCGAATCGTCGGAGCCGAAGAAGACACCTAGGACCCACCGTAGAGGCTCCAAAACCTGCGGTGCGACGTCTCGTTCTGGTTCGTCGAGAGCTTTGAGATCTTCCTCGTCACCACCTTCAAGAAAGATCGCCACCGTATCCATGAGACGTATGATGACGTCATTGTTGCTGTCGACGTCCAATGTCACGTTGTCCAGCAAGCCCATGTCTCGAATCTTGTCGTAAACCTCGAGTCTTTTTTGGATGTTGGCCTGAGCTTCTTCCTTGCGCTTGTGACATTCATCGGGGTGGTACTTGACTCGGAACCTGCGCGAAGGAACATTGAGTTTCTATATTTCAGGGAAAATAGGATTTTCCGATGTCGATTCCGTGCCATTGAGAACTCGACGCACTCGACTCAGCTCCCTTCTCAGAGTACTCGAGTATTTTTCGCTCGTCAGCCTCCGAACGTGTAAGCGTGAAAATTCGACCTCCAAAATGACATCATCAAAATCATCTTGGGGAAAAGATTAGTGTGCGGTCGTAGAATTTCGATCTCTTACCCATAATCTGAATGTGATGAAATCACCACCCGTGATTGAAACTAACAGCCTACACCAGTCGGACTGAAGGCCCGCTGTTGAAAATCTAGGGTTATGCTTTGCGCGCATACCCGTGCCTAAACAGTAAACACATGTCCAAGGGTGAAGTTGGCCAACATGCTCAGCGTCAAATGAGTCCACCCTGAAAGTTTGGCGTTATTCTCGTGCAATCATCGATGGATGAGACGATCGAATTCCCGACTTCAAGCTCTCCACAGATCTCAAAAGTATGAGCATCCACTCGAATCGAGACCTCCTCCAGCGGACCCCGAGCGGGGTGCCCCCTCGAGTCGGGCAATCGTTTCAGGGGCGCACGGAATTCATGGAGTCCGCCACTTAAATTCCGAGTTAATTAGGGCTCCGAGAGGCTCCTCCGGACACGACCTTTTCAATAAGAGGTCACCTGGACGCCGCGACCAGTGACGGGCACCTCAACCGGCGACTCTCGTCGACGATTGGAGTCTTGACTCGAACATTAACTACCCACAGGATTAAAATTGGACTCTCGTGACTTCGAAGACAAGAAGACGCCTCTCGACGATCCTGGCCTCTGCGAGCACTCCGAGCCGTGGCCGAACATTCCGAGCCCACAGAGGACAAAGACCGACCATGGACTCGACGGCAAATATTCTCGGAGAACAGGATCAGAATCCCCGATGATTCCGAATTCAAGTCTTAGAATCGAGAAATTACATACCATTCCTCATCTTTATGATTTTTGAAGAATTCCTCCAGCTGTTGACGCTTGAAGTCGGTCTTGTAGTCAGCGTATTTCTTGACGGCGTCCTGGTCGTCGATGCAGTCGTCCTGTTGTCCGAGGAACTGTTTGAAAGTCATCATGGCCGGTTGGCTGAGACCCTGATCCGAATCGTACCGACTCCTCTTCATAGGAGGCGAGACATCCCTGCCGCCGCGCAGAGGACTATACGCGCGCCTACGGTCGTAATCCCTTCCGTAGTCACGTCCACCTCGTCCATAGTTGTCTCTGGAGAAGTCGGGAGGTTAAGTATCCATGCTGCCCGAATGATCCGAAATTTTTCACCCTCTTCCATGATCAGGGAGAGGGGGGGGCGTCCCAGAAAGGCACTGATATGATTGAATGATCAGAGGATGGGCTCACACCTTTCGTAATCCCTGCGATCTCGGTAATCATTTCGCTCGCGAGTGAATTTATCTCTGCGGCGGCGATCGAACTCATCGTCGCTGTCCGCCATTTGTCCTGGAAGATGGGGTTGGGGTTAGCAACGACGACTACGGAAAACAACAGTCCTGATCAGCCTACGACCTCCAAAATCGATGTACCCTACGACGTTCCCGAAAACCTTGGACGGAGTCGAGAACGAATATCCGGAGAGAGAAAGCTCGGAAGACCCAGTCATTATGAAAGCGCGATTCGGAAATCTCGTTCGGCTACGCCATCGAACGAGTCCGCCTTGATGTCCTGAAGGACATGGACGGAAATCGGAGCTGGGATTTCCGAGGGTCCTCCTCTACCGGATTGCTGGTATCCTCTCTAGTATCACTCTCGGTATCCGCTCGGGCGGAATTCGAGGACTAGCAGTCTGGAGTTTAAAGGTAGCCGGAAAATTGTGCCATGAGTTTCGCCGAGATGAGGATGAGAACTTCGTCGTGAGACGTTAGACATCCCAGGGGTTTCTTCCACCTTCCGTACGCCGTGATCACTTGGGGCGACTGACTGAGAACAACCCCACGACGGGAGCGAATCAGTCGCATCGTCATTCAATGGAAACATAGCTCCACATTACACAGCTTATAGAGACGATGAACGTATCACTGATTCAATTTGCAGATTTCTCACGATCGGTGGCCGACCGGACGCCGAAAGCAAAACGCGTATCGAGAGACCCCTCCGAGTCCCAAAATCCATCCGAAGAAGTCAGCGCACGGAGTTTCGAATTCGAATCTAGCAATCACTTACTTTTCCTCCCAGGGACTTCGCGACAATCAGCTCAGCGGTATTTCAAAAACCAACGCGAATCAAGTGACGACAGAAACGCGGACGGCGAAGGACCGGTAGTTTTGTCCTCTTGCTCGGCTGCAGACGCTCCCACAATGGCAACACTCGGAATATCGATCCGCCGGGCGCCGCATTAACCAGGACTAGGGAGGAGGAATGACTGGCGGGAGCTCGGAGAACTTTTCCCTCTGAGATACCAGTCGCAACAAAAAAACACCACCGCCACTCATCTACGGGCATCTCGGACAAATATCTCGCAGAGAAATCTCGAGTCTGCGCTCGGAGTGCGTTCCTTTTGAACTTGGCGCGTAGTTCTGGATGCGTTCGGCGGGAACACTGCGGTCGCCCACCCATCAGCAGGTAGATCCTCGGTCTCTATGATCTGTCAAGATCTCCTCAAGTAGGGCGAGCCGTGATAATTGTAGAAGCGTCGTCTCTTCACGGATAATCGTTCCCATCTGAGTCAATCATATTTTCGGACTTGCTGCTGAGAGGAAGGGAATTCTCCCAGCCCTGCTACGACTTCCACAATCCTCGCGCGAATACCATCGGGACCCCGAGGTGGGACCCTGCAAATATTCTCGGCATCGATTCTCGTGTTAATTCGAACGAGCACGACGACAGAAATAATTGTGATTGATTGATTGATTGATTGTACAGAGCGGGGGGAACCTGGTCTTCGGAATAAAGTGGGATCAACGTACTGGGAACACGTCGAGACCGGAGCACTCCGATCCGATTGGATGAATGTTCCGATAATTCGAAAACGGGGTGGGCATAATTCCAGCGCGCTGCTCAGAATCCCAGATGCTGAAATGATCTTCTCGGCAGCATCGGTCTATTCGAAGAAGAGCTGTGTCAGAGGGAATGCTCGGGGCAGGCATGCCATTGAATTAACAGGGTAACGGATGTGGAACACTGGACTTCGACTAGTCGCACACGCTCTGTTTCTCCGAATTTCATCGGAACATCTATGTTCGCCATGGATGATTCGTCGGATTCCATTTACCGAGTCTGTGGAAACATCGAAGGAAGATTTGGGAGCTGTGCTTATCGTTATAGAGCATAAGGAAGCGCCGCGCGTCGGCGGGGGCTCGATTCAACCCAGGGCTCCCCGATAACCGAGATCGAACGTTTCTCAGAGCATTTGACTTCCGACCCGGGGAGCATCCCTGCCGATGCGTGATTTTCGTGACGGCCCAGCAGGTCTAACTTGGACGATCCCAAGCCATGGTCGGCAAGTTCGAACATGGTGTAGAATCGTTTTCCCTGCCAAGCCCAGCGAGAATATCACTCCCTCACGCTTGCGGTTCTGAATTTCATCTTTCAGAATAAGGATATCGCCTGCGATTCAGCCGTTGATCATGCAAATCTCACGAGACAGCCAGCCTATTCGAACATAATTCTGAACAAAGGCGCGATTTTGCGAAAAAGCGTTCTGGCCTACGAAATCAGAGACGCGTAGAGACCTTATCCGTGCCAGTTACCGTACTATCCTGATTGAAGGGGATGCCCATCTTTTTCCCGACCATCCTGAACCCGCCCCTTCATGAGAGACTGCCCATCCATCTTCTCCGAGAACCCAAAACCTGCCCGTCTAATTCAATCAGATGAATACCGCAAGCCTAGTTGATACTCACTCAACAGAGCAACGAGAGGAGTTCTGCACTCTTCGCGAGTCGAGTACCTGAATTGCTACCCTCAAAACTGACCATTTAATTGAGACTGTGCGTCGATTTCATCTATCCTCCGAAATTTGCCTGTTCGGCGGCGACTGCTGTATACTAAAGTCCGCCTTCTTCTTGGAATATCAGCGGTATGTATGAAGTGTGTAGATTTATCGTCATCCTACCATATGTATATTCGTTCGCCTTTCTTTCTCCCACCTAATGTCCTCATTGATCTCGTGCAACACCCGTTTCCTGCATCCTATCCTTTCCCTGGTCTCAGCCCCCTCAGAATCTCGACCATGAAATTCGAGAATCGGGTAACAATCTATGGAGTCTTCTCTAGTGCAAGAATCCCCCAGTAAGATCGAACGTGGATTCACTTTCTCTCGAGCCAGACACCCGAAAGTAGCTGCCGTGAGGAACATTCCGGTACCCAAACGAAGCTCTCGCGAGTTCTTGTGACCGGGTCCCGGAGAATCCAAGTGGGGTCCACTGGCTTGCTCAAATGGGCCCCCCTACGCACATTCCGCCCGACCGCCGGGATCTGATCATGCCCACCTGCGAGTGACCGCATGACATTTCGGCGAGCGCATGGGAGAATTCATGGATTGTTATTCATTATATGGATGACAGAGACGAGGCCAGTCAAGGGGACGGAATGATGTCGCTTCCTGTCTCGATTCCGGATCCATGCTCCAGACTAGCTGAAGGACCGCTTCGGAAGGCGAGAAAAGGCCTCTCTCCAACAACGTCGTCCCACGAGCTCTCATCCCTGAGGAACGCACGTGCTCCCTCAGAAAAACCTTCAGGTATATATCCTGGTTCCAAAGCGGAACAAACTACGCGAATAATTCAAATCAACGAAAGGCTTTGCTGGTGCACACGTCCCCTCCATCCTTGAATAAATCTGGAACGTGTTCTGAAGTCGGTTTCCACCAAGATCGGAGGATTTGTATTCATCAACCACACAAAAGTTTCAGTCGAGTAATGAGTCAGTCACTTTCGTCCCTGAACTCTCTCTGAACAACTGTACTCCTGGCCACGATCGACTTGCGCGGCTCAACGGCTCTATTAGAAATATATATAGATACAAATTATGAGTGTTCTGAGTGCCCAAACTCACAATTGGCCTTCCTAACAGAAACATTAACAAGTTGGATTGAGATCATGGGGAAATTGAGGGCTCGGAGACATTAATCGTAGCTTCCGTCGTGGAGCACAAGACAGCTCAAAACAACACCTGGCGCCCTCTTCAATCGTCAGAGCAGTTCCCACAAACGCTCGTGCATCCTTCTCCGTGATCATGGGAGTAATTTCCTAGTTCCGAAGATGTGGCCGATCCGATGTCAAGTCGTATTTTCGCAATCCTTCCGATTCCGATGTTTTTGAATCGCCGTCCAGACGCGAACCTCGTAGCCCAACCTGAGAGAAATTACGATTAGAGAGCAGAAATATTTATGGTGAGGCTTTGTGCAGGTCAAAACCTATACTGATGGGGAAGATGCGAAAGGGAACAAGTCGAGGAACTTTACTTGAGTCCAAGGCGTTTCAAATCTTCTCGATCAACGAGCTGTAGAACGTCTTCCATGGAGAAGCGTTCCTGCACGAATTTCATCACACTTGCTTCATCGAGCCCTATGTTCTCCAGCCACCGCACCATTTCAGGATCGCCGTCATCCTTGGCTAAGAGTCTCGATGTGGATGAGCTTCCGTCCGCACCCATTTGACCGTTTTTAATCAGAGACAGGACCAAACCACAACATCGCATCTCCTGCTCCATCAGAGCTTTGACTAAGCTGTTGGAGGAAAATGATCGGATGAGAGCCGGTTTCGGTCGCTCTGATCGCCCATGCGTTAGGACTCATGAGGGGAACTCATCGGAGGAAATCATGGGCACCCAACGAGGCCGGGATAAGGGGTTGGCACCGATGGGAACACTCACTTTGTTGTGTCCTCTTTATTCACGGGCAGATTTCCGAACTGATCTAGCACCCGGCCCAGAACGTCTCCGTCCATGTGCGACAGACCGTCCTGTTTCTGAGCGGATCGTATCGACGCTGTCGTGGATACGCCGCTCGTAACACTTGACGCCCGATCTTCTTCCTCCTCGATATTGTGTCCGATTATGTTCGCGGCCAGCTCCGGAGAAAGGATGGAAATCGCGGCTTGACAACACTGTTTCACGAGGTTGTCGAGGGCGAACATCCAATGGGGCTTGATATTCTGGCGTTTGAGAATATCCATGACCTGGAACGGAGATCGAGAGAGGTGAGAGACGAGCGACTCGTCGGTAGCCGTCGAATTGTCATACGTGCTTCAGTCCTCCTCGGTGTGTCTTCATATGCTTGTCAGCCGAAGATGATCAGTAGGCGATTGCATTTTCCTTCATCCAGGTATCAATAGAACAAAGAGGAGGACGACGGCGGAGAATCGAAGGCCGCATTCGACCAGGCGTATCTGCTGTAATCGCAGTCATGACGTCGATGACGTCATAATGGATTAAACAAGTCAATGGAAACGCTACGCGGTCAGTCGAGCGACCGACTGACCGCCTCCTTGAGCAGATCACCAAAGATAGCTAGATAGATAACGGATCTCTCAGTGCGCAAGCATTCCGGTCTGCTTCCGTTGTCGCATATTTTCCGGGACATTTTTATACTTTTCCTAATATGACTCGACGACTGCGGAAATGACGGAGAAAAGCGTTCAATGTCTTCCAGAGATGATCCTTCCCCATAGCGTCTTATAAGGACGATGGCGAACGCTGGCACTCCAGCCGGCGGCGCCTCTAAAATCTTCTCTTCCATCAAAGCGGAAATGCCAGGAGATTGTTCGCCCTCAGAGAGTTCGCCGGACATTCCTTGAGACGAGGCTGGCCGCCACCAAAATAAAGCTCGACACGCACTCCGCTCACGTAGATCGATGGCTTCCTAGTGGCATGCGGAATAGAATGAGGGCTGAGGGCTCAATCGACGATTTTCCGGGCTGGGAAAGTCGTGAAAAGCGCTCTCGGTATGGAATGCTTGATCTCTCGGTCTCCGTCCCGGTCGCGTCCGTCGCGGATTGGATGGTTTAGGTATGTTCTCGGCGCGGAGTGACATAGTTAGGGCACGTTCCCACAGATGCCGTTGGATGACGTGGGCGCCGATGAGAGATCGAGTTTTAAATTGAACTCACCGAATGTTGAAATACGAATAGCGCGGTCTGCAGCTGATTGAGAGCGCTTCCGTCGTAGTCGAGTGACTCTTTCAGCTGGGCCAGAACTTTTGACAATTGGTTCTTGTTCTGCTCGGGGAGGAATGAGATCATTCCACTCAAGAGTTTCGTAAGATGCTCCTCGTTGATCAGGAGAGCGGACGAGCCCAAGTTCGCTTGGATTTTGTCCATCCAGATTTTCAAAATCTGCGAAAAAAATTATCCGATTCCCTGTAAGCACTGTTTTTCTTTTCGTGAGTGGTTCTAACAATTCACAATAAGACTGAGTTCCCGACTCAATGTTGGATTTGTTCTCGAGAGAAGGGTCCGCTTGTTTCATCCGGAGAAGCGCGAGTCTTCCCGGTGATCGAGGCAGAGTCGCAATGACAGGGTAAGAAATTTTCGATTCGAAATTGTCGTCGCCAGATTCGTCCATGGAAAATCAGAGCTGGACGACTGGATATGTCTGATACGGTCCGGGTGCCTCGATTGAATCGCTCGGAATCAAGGCGTTGATTAAATTTTCCGGTTGATGAATATGCATCGGGTCGACTCACGGATCGTGAGGTTCTCCAGAAAGCGATTGCAATCCGAATCTGCGCAAAACGAACCTCAGATCGATCCGAATCACTTGAATCGACCATGTCGTCCCACGAACGAGCGCTACAGCACCTCTATCATTCGACGGGATCACACCTCGAGCAATCCACAGAGGACGCACGCGATGGAGAAACCAGGAAATTCGAGAGGTTTCTTCCAGTCTGGAACCGCTCTCACAGAAAAGATGCGCGCTTGGGAGCGTCGCCAATCCAGAATTTTCTATTACTTAGCCCGAATTCTCGACGCTCCGACTCGATAGACAGAGTCATTTCGGAGAATTACATCAGACAGCGTCATGCGTTGCGGCTATGAAGAGCGGCAGCTCGTGGCTCGGAAACTTTTTCTTGACATTTCTCTTATCGACAGATCCCATGAGGCTCACGAGGCCAACCAAAGAAAGTTTGAATATCACATCGATCGATTTTCTTCGATTCCTATCAGCAGCAGAAATGCACGAAACGTGTCACTGGTGTCCGGCGGCTCATTTTCAGTGCGTAATTCCCGATGATCTCTGGACTATCCAAATCCCCTCTCTATTCAATCGCCTCTTGAGCGAAATTCCTCATAAACGACACTCACCTGTTCACCGTCGTCCTGAAGAACCTTCACAATCGTTTGTCTTCGCTGAGAATCCTTCTTGAGCATATAGAATTCTTGACCTTCCTCCACGCCATTCTGTGGGCCCCCATCCACTGGAGGACTGATAAGAGCCGAGCTGATTACGAGCGGAGTCACAACGTTGGTCATTGAGTTAGTGAGCTCGTGGTTTTCATCGTTCGAGTCCAAGTCGAGGTCTTCGCATGCAGACCAAGCACCTGGCTCATCGTAACAGTCCCAGCAATGCACCCGCATCAACGACCATCGCAGCTCCCGAGGACCCGGACCCAGAGGGTCGCGATTCTCGAGGTTCGGAACGGTCGATCTAGCAGCACCTGACTCGAACATGCTCTCTGCTTTTCCCTGCGCTTCTCTTCTGTCCACAGAGGTACACAGCCAGCAGGCCAAGCTTTCTCTCAAAATCTCACTTTAGGGAGTCACTATTTTTGAGTTCATACGGAAACCGAAGACCACGCAGAGAATCTAGGCATTCGTATCATGCACTTCTTCTTTTCGCTCGTTGACGGAGAAGCGAAATCGTCTGAAGGTACACGGATCGCAGAAGGCACAGAAATGCAGCATTCAAGATCTTGGCTTGCCACGGCGAACGCTCCCGGTGCTTGCCAAGAGTGTTTTCATTCCGGCAAGTCGGCGCGCGGCTTCAACAACGAGGGTCCTTAACGGCTGCCGTCGTCAGCTGCTAACGGACCGCGTTTCAATATTCTGCTTTTGTTTCTGTTCAGCACCCGCTGATGCCACGGCTGTCTAGTTCCACCGGTCGAGGGATATCGAGTTTTTCTTTTACGACAACTAAGCGAAAACACACAACCACACCCAGTCAATGCCGAATGAGAGGAACACAGCAGCGGGAGTCGGCGTGCACGCACTGAGTGAGAACTACTCGTCTATAGTTTTTCACTGTCTTACTTTGCACCCGTGGCCACCAAGTTCCAGTTGAAGGTGGAACTCATCGACGGCGTCAAAGGAGTTTGAGGATCGACACCACGACTAGAACATAAACATGATCGGGTTCTGAATTTAGAAAACTCAAATGGCAGTCCGGGTCCTGACTTCAGAATCTTCTACATTGATCTCCAGAAGAATCGAATCGACCTTCTCATCGCGCGCCGAACTATGCATAGCATGAACTCGTCCTAGTCGTCCACGCAAACATTCGCGATGTCATCCACTACAGAAATGCACGCACGCACTGCTGATCTAGGAACGAAAGCGGGATCCGGACCTGGAGATCCACGACAGAATCGTCGTCGTAAGCAACCCTAGGCGAATTCGGTGGAGGAAATCTATCAATCTACCACACTGGCCGCCACAGTCTAGCTCGTCCCAGCAAGTTGTAGCGACGGCGACGGTGCTTGTATTGGTTGCTGCAGAGGTTTCAAAGCGTGCCTCTGTAAAAGAGCTACGGCGCGCAAGAACGGTACAGCCCTCCGCCGGCATCTGGCATTACGTGACGTCAGACCGCGTCACCAACTGGGAACAGCGGAGAAGCTTCGGGGAAGCTGGTTACGCGAACGAACCGAGACAAAGCGTCCATTGCGTTTTCGCTCCGTGGAGCTACGATGCTACGCGGGAAAAGATCAACAGACCGGAGGGTCCGACTCGGCGATGATTATTGGATGAATCAACGCTCGGAATGTAAGTCGAGAGTTCCGAATATTCTTTTCTACTGGAGTGTGGCGTGTGGCGGGTCATCGCTTGGAAAGACGAAGTTCTCTTGGAGAGGGAATGTCTGGGAGAGCCGCTCGAGCTTCCGATGGCTCTTCAACGGCGTTGATGTTTCTAACTGTCCCTGGTTACCTTTCATCTTCTTCGCTCCGGCATGGATTACGGCCGGGTCGGCGTAAACACCACAGAGCGCGGTGGCCATGATGTTCGATCGCATCGAGCGACTTCCACGTCGGGATCTCCTACTGTGACGACACTTTCAAAGAGCGATCCCTTGCAGAGGAGAGAATCCACCGCAGAGGAAATATAGAACGGAGCTTGACAGCTGGAATGAGATTCCAGAGGCAGGGGCCTGATCTCACAAATGTCAAATCTGCTCCTACGAGAGCCTAGAGAGGGCTCAGAACGAATTGCGGATCTCCGAGTCCCGAGAATAGATTCTCCCGTAGTCTGAATGTCGACGCGAGAATCTCTCATCGAATTTCTGTCTCCCCTCGATGTTCGAGACTCGCGTTGAAGTGCCGATCATCTGATCATTGAGTTTTTGCACCGAAGCTTTCCACCACCAGTGCGGGTCTATGCTTCTTGTCTTTCGGTCGAACAAGCTCACCTGTACGAATAAGCTCCAGGACTTCTGGGCAAACCTTCTGATGTCGGACTAGCCGCGACACGGTACGCTCCGTCCTCACCGGTAGATGAAAATCTGCTCACGCGTCCCCCGGTGTGGCCCGGGTAGGGTACCGACATGCTGCGCGGAATTTCGATCGGGGGTCCTGTCGGTCGCTGTCGTTTCTTACGCTCGGGCCTAGGATTCGGGAGAAATCGGGTTTCTGCGATTAGTCATCAGAGGTAATTTTGAACATTCCCTCGCGAGGTTGCCCTCCTTACTTAATAGCTAGGTTCAAGCGGAGTGACAATGTTGGAACGGCGCTGATGCGCTGATACTCGCTTGCCCGGTCTGAATGTTTCAAAAACATCAGAGAATGAATGAGGCGTTCCAAGGAATATCCCCGAGAGGATGAGAAGTCTGCATGAGCAGAATATTCAAGCGTCAGAAAGGAGCTCCTTGAGGTGAAATCAATGCGAACTCACAAAGATGTTTGGCAACCGGTGGATTTGGAAATAGTTTCGAGACGGATCGAAAGGATGAAAGAGCGCGAAGATCCTGTGATGAGGCGGTAGTTCGTCGCGAGGAGTCTTTCACGGGAAGTTCTTTGTCAGAGATACCGCTGGCGGTTGTGGCAAGACTTGTTTCCGCTCTAGATCGAAAGCTCATGCGGGACCATTCATAGGGGTCAGGGAAGCGCCGGCCCGTCTGCCCTGAGCACGATCCGAGACGTGCCTGATTGTTGCATAACAATAGAAGCACATCGTTCGAGGGCTTCTCTATTCATTCTATCATCTGGCGCTTCAGGGTCCAATCGTGGTGTGGCTTGACCGCAATGGCTATCCGTTTCACTTCAGCTCGTCAAGCGGCCAGACTCCTCTCCTCTACCGAGGACCTAGGCCATCGTGGATACATGACTCCCATAAATCCATTCAATCACACATCTCTCTTGTTTGGCGAATGATGGACGCGGTGACGAATGGAGGGAAGCGAGCTTTTCGGAGGAGCAGAGGATTCGAAACAAGACTCAGAATCATGAGCGAATACTCATAATACGTAATTCCTTACGTGGTGCTCGGCAAGCTGGATTGTTTGGTTGGAGAGGGACACGGTCCCAGAAGCTGGATGATATCGAAACTGCGAAAAGAAACTCGGATGAATCCCCCCCGAGAGCCAAGGTCTGAGACGGCTCTCGACGGAGACATCATATCGGGAAACTTCCGCGGCACGATTCGACGGCGCCAAATCTCGGAGGAAAGCACGGTCAATGAATATGTTGACCAGGAAATATTCCTCACCGCGAAGGCGGAAGGGCTCCGGACAATGATGTGACCGAACAATGAGCCAGGACCGCCACACACACTATCGTGAGAGTTCAAAGGAATTAATCAGAGGAGCGGAAAACTACAGACTAGGAATACGGTTGCCGGACCATCACAGATCCATAACGATTATGCCCGGGAGCTTCATCACAAGCGTTGAAACTAATGCTCAGGAGCCTCCGAATAAGGTACCAATGAACGGACTGGTCTCCTTGAAATCACGCTCTTTCAGTCCACAATGAGAGAACTCACGCGTTCAGGAAGGGATCCACGAGGAGGTCATCCGCTGTCGCTCGTTTATCCGGATCCGGATCGAAACACTTTTCGATGAAATTTTTGGCGATATCGCTCATCTTCTCGGGTATATCCGGGTGAATCTTGAATTGTCCTACTTTGAAGAGAGCTGCTTGCGGGGGAAGATTAGGGAAGGGGTACTTTCCCGTCGCCATCTCGATGATCGTGCAGCCCAATGACCAGATGTCGGCCTGAAACGAAATCGAGATTCGGTTCATTCTTCCTGTTCGTGGATGCCAAAGAAACACCGTGTTCCTGATGGCCTCGTCACAGGAATATCGAGGTGTAAGAGCTGTGACTCAGAGAGGATCTTCAGATGTGAGAATGAGGGTGCACTGACGGCGCATCTCCGGTAAGAGCATCAAGCAGTATATCAAGACCCGATGCCGAGCATCTATTCAGCACGAGGTAGACACGGCAAGCTAGCCGGGAAAAATCACTACGTGCAGAGTGCAGAGGGATGACGAACGAATGGCATATCTCATGCAATGACGCAGCACACAAACCCCTGATTGACTCGGAAAAGAGTCTTCCGGGTTCGAGAAGTCAGCGAGCCAGCTATGTAATGACGCGGATAATTTTTCAGAAGCAAACTTGAGGAAATTAAAGGACTCCACGGGACCGGTATAAACAGTCCGCTGTATCCGGACCTGGACTTCGTGAGACCCGCGGTGAATCAGAAGAGCCGCTCGGATGCTCCCACGGATCCCTAATCCCAATCTCAATCTTGTTCAAAGTTAGATCGAAGTTAGTTAGTTCCGCCTCGCGAGAGGGGTATAGCGGGTCCCTTATAACACGGGACGAGTTAGGACCGGGACCGAGGAATCAGTCCGTCAAATCCGAATGTCCGTTTTTCAGTCCACTACAGCCCAGTCACCTAGAATCGGGAGATACCATTGGCCGTGACCGCACACTAAGAATGGAGTGTTCGCTATATCCGAGTCCGTAATACCGGGGTTATACTGTACTGGTTATACTGCGCTCCGGCCCTTGTCAATCGATATTCCCGGAAATCTCTCGAGTTCGTATGCCCAATGATCCGACGGGAACAGGCAGCGCATCCCATGTCTCCAAAACGTTGGTGCTCATGACGAGATTTGTGAGAGGGTTTGCACACAGACATAAGAGGGGCACGGTCAGGATCCATTCGGGACGAGCAGCGATACTTCGATGGTGAGCTTACCGGTTTTCCGTAGCCTCGGTCACCGTTGTCCATCACTTCAGGCGCCATATATTGGAAGGTTCCAGCGAAAGTTTCCACAAGACGGCCGGAGACCATTCGTTTCGAAGTTCCGAAGTCGGAGATTTTCACGATCCCGGAGTAGGTGTTTATTAGCACATTGTCGCCCTTGATGTCTCTGTGTACTATGTTGTTTTTGTGGAGATATTTTATCCCCTCCAGGATCTGTTTCGTATAATGCGCGATTGTGCTCTCGAATCTCAGAGGACCCCAGTTGAAGCGTAGCAGGTGTGACAAGCTCCCACCGGGCACGCGCTCCATACAGATCTTCACGAAGCCATCCTCGCTTTTCGATCCTAGATATTGGACGATGTTCTTGTGTCGGAGATGCATGTGCAGCATGATCTCCTCGTGCAGAGGTTGAACATCCTTGAGATTTTTTTCATGAATTTCTTTCACGGCTATTTGAGTCATGGTTTTCGTGTCCGTAGCGGCGTAGACGACACCGTAGGTTCCTGCGGGAAATCAGAGTGGGTATTCCGCACCCCCTGGATCGAATCATTCATAAGGAAGCCGTGCCTGTGTCTGACTACTCGAAATGTTCCGAACCTTTGCCGAGAACCTTCTTCTGTCGATTTTCGTCGAGCTCGTATTCGAAGTCTATACATTGAAACTGAGCATCGTAGTCGAAAGCAAGACACATGGCGTCCTCGTTCTGCTGGTTTTCGTTGATCATACCTTGGACCACCTGCGTGAGGAGCGTGTGGACATTCTCGGGAGTTCAATCACAAGAACGGCTTGGGGAGAATAAATAATATGCCCCTTCATGAATCAATCAGACAATATCCGATAGCGATCCGGCACTGACCTGATAGAATCTTCCTCGAGCAGCAGATGAGGGGAAGAACATCTGGAAATCATCAGAGTTCTCGTGTACGTATAATAAGATGCAGCGGTCGTCTTGTTTGTAGAGCGAGACGCCCTTTATCGTCGGCGAAGTGAAGAGCCATTCGTGGCGCCGCTTGCAGGTGCCACGCATCGTGTCGACGCATTTGTGGGAGATCTGGATGGACTTCTTCTGATCGCCCGTGTCTAAATTCAGCGTGACGTACGACGGCATAAGAGTCTCGGTGGGTTCATTGATCAGAACCTGGAGATGGGCCAGAGGATCGTATTAGTGTCGACGTACAGCGTGGTGGAGCGGAGACATTTTCTCAAACAGTCTGAGGCGTTCGGAGTCCTTTTCAGGAAAAGCTCCCACATGACTCACCGGAAACAAAATATGATCCTCTAGATCCTTCTGTGTGGCCATGCTGAAATAGTCGATCCAGAAACCCATGATGTGTTCCTCAGGTTTGATTTCCGTTGTGTCGCCTTTTCTTCGTTTTCTCGCTATGAGTTGAATGTTGAGAAGCGTGCTCGCCAAGCACCAACTCGCCGGGTTGAGGTGGAACATTTTTATGGCAACCTGGGGACCGGAAACCGATCGTCAACTGGGGCCCACCCGCTGCGTAACCCTCCCGCAAGCTCAAATCATGAAGAACGACTCGAGTACCTTGATGGCGCGCGTGTAGTCCTCGACCAAGTAGCAAACCTCGAAGTATGTCGCTACGTCCCAATAATCAGTCATCGCATCGATTTCGCCTTTCTTCCCGATCAAGTTGTTAAGCACCAAAAACACGTACTGGAGGTCGTGGCTCTCCTCGGATCTGTGGGTCGGACGGAAGACTTCACTTTCGACATACTCGCAGTACCATGAGGCGAGGAATACAAAGACCATCAATCGAGAAGCACAATCACGGAGCCACAACGAATCAGCATCGATCTTTCATAAACGAACCTGTGGCCGTCAGCGGTGAGTAGCGTCGCTAAATTTATGCCGTTGTAGACCGACTGGAGGGCATCGAAACCTTTTCGATACCATTCGATCGCTTTCTTCAGTGAGTCCGTATCTTTACAGTCACTGTTCAGGTACTTGTCCTTGTATATTCTCCCGCACAGCCCCAAGTAGTCTGGGATCTCGTTTTCTTTTTTTTCCAGGGCTTTCTCCATGACAGCGAGGGCTCGGTCGGTATCGCCTTCTTTCTTCCGCCTGTAGATCAGTCGGAGCGTTAGCCGGGCTTGGACCGGAGCTACAGCCTCCCCCAGCCGACGTGCCATGCTCATGTATAATCTCATGTATTGACTGGTATAGCGATAGATGGATGAAACTACCTAGTAGCTAATCTTCGAATCCGCTTCCAACAAAAACATCGAATGTTTGGATTATTTTTCCGTGGAATCATCTGAATTAATTCTCTCCATCCTGGTCTGCTGGAGCTTTTGTTTGGATGGAACTCTCCCACCTACGGAATGCCCCGCGGTTCGGAAGAGCCAGGGAGAGCTTACCTATTGAGGGCGAAAGCATACAAGTACTGGATGGCAGCACAGTGCATGAAGCTCAGCGTCGAAACCTCCTGGAGATCTTCGACGAGCTTCACTGAGGAGTCATAATCCTGTGCGTCGTTCAATGCATTCAGTAACGCGTGTACAACCTGCGGAATCGCAGGGGAACAGATTAGACTTTGGACATGGTTTTTAGAGATTATGATTTTCATTGAATCTGGTGGAAGCACCATGAGATTCAATCCGAACTCACTTCCAGCGAGATGACGTTGGGATCGTCGAGCCGTATCCGGAAGTTCTTCAACGCCGCTCTCAGCTCGTCCCCCCTCAGAGTTTCTGGGAGGTGTCGGAGGTCCTTCAGGAATCTGTCTTTTAGGAATTCCCTGGAATCCGATTCGACGCCCTTCACAATTTCGTTCGCGCGCTCTTCACAGTTTCGTTTGGGCACCCTCAAACCGATGCGATTCGGAGCCGAAAGCTCTGAATATGAGTGTGAGCATCGTTCCGACAATTATTCGAGAACAAGAGGGGACTAAGCACCGTGGCGGCTGTCCGCGCCGTCCCGACAGCAAGAGATCCGATCTTACTTCGTTTGAACTTCGAGTTCGAGCAGACTCTTCCTGATGACCTCGGTGAGCGATTTCTCATTTGAAGACGTTATGCTGTCATGGAAGGGCCCGATGTCGCTGACGTAACAAAAATTTTTCTCTGTCACACGGTAGTAGACTGGCTTGTAGCTGAATAGCTGACTCTGAAATCGATTGGACTTGAGTCTTTCGGGAACTCCATTCGCGTCGGATTTTCCTCGTCTGCCGCTGAATTCAGGCATCTGCGGTTCCGGGTAGTGTTTTGTGATGTTTTGAGGCATCCGCTATCTCGATAAGCCGGAACTTTCGTTTGTTAATGCTATGGAGCGATGGCTTCACCGGTCACGGTCGTCGCGGGCGGTGTGAGCGGCGCAGCTTGTTTGGGATTTTTTAATTCCTTCCACCTAATCTCTCACTCATGCGGGTCTGATCAGATTCCATGGTGACGGGAGAATCTATTGGAAGATGTTCAGGTCGCCAGTGTCGACCATTCTCTGAACTTGTCTATAGGCCAGCCGGCTTAAGGGCCAATCGTCCCTTGAATCGGGATCGTTCCAGATCGCTCATTAGAGCTCATCATACCTTGTGGTCGCCCGTTTTACTGGATGCGTTCCCGATTAGAATGCTCTGCGACATCCCGAAACTCTCTCTGATTCCCAGGTGGTAGAACAATACATTCCATTGGCTCTGCAATCGGAAAAACGGAATGAAAATCGCTTTCGGCAGCCGAACGTCCTTGATGAGGAGGTCGCATCGAATTGCTTCCATATGTGTGATGTAGCGCTCGGTGTTTATTTACAGATTACAGAGACCTATTCCCGCTTCCCGGTATCACGCTGACGCTATTCCAAAGAGTTATAGAAACCTGATCGCAAAGACTTGGATGAACTCAAGCAGTCAAATGACTCCCGGAGAAAACGCCACGGTTCACCAAAGAAGGTTCGTGCGGCCAAGACAACGTCACCACGATTTTATTTATTCTAGCGAGCTTGGCAACTACGTAGCCGCTAGCCAGACCGAAAGCTGAGGCAGCGCTACCTATCTGTATAGATCTTTCGTTTCAGCTATTTGATAGACGACGTCTTGCACATCTGAGTCCGTCGAGAGAGGAAGCGTCACGAAGCGCTATCATGACACAGTTGCTGTCGAGCCATTGTTCTTTGAAAAAGCGACAAATCCATCTGCCTAAATATTCACTTTTTAACATAATATGCGATTGATGTCGCTCGCTGATTTCGGGAGTTGTGTTCAAGTTGAGCCCCGGCGCTCCAACTCACCCGCACGCTGACGTCGACGATCGCTACGTCGGCCTGATAAAATTGCTCTCTAGCATCTCCTGATCCTGAGAATCCTTCATGATAAGCGAGATCCTTGAGGTCACAGGTCTTGAACTCCGCGCCCGCACATCGACTAGCTTTCCGGATCTCTTCGAGGGCAATTGCCCTGTGTTGGGGATCGCCCCATTCCGAATGCCGAGTTTCCTGCGAAAACGGTATGACAATACTCCGTGCTAATTTCGTCGCTTCATCGCGCTCCATTATAATTATCAGGAGAGATATTTCTGACGCGAACGCGAGAAGCAGGTGCAGGAGAGGAGAAGGGGTCTGGAGCTCACGGATCAATTGAGCTTGAACGTCGACCTTAGGATCAGAAGAAATGCGACCCGGTCGGCGGTTTAGGGAAACACTCACGAGATCAATCAAAAGGACGACCTCCATTTTTGCGACTGTCGTGGTGGTGCTGGAGCCTTGCGACGGAGGTAGATCCGGGTCCATCTGCGCGGTTGCCGACGAAGAAGCAGCTGGCAATCCTGAATTGGGGGTGACGTTGAATGCCGTGACGCTCGGCCGCTTCGCTGCGTGTCCCGCGGCCTCAACGAGGTTGTCCTGCGATCTGCATTTCCTGTAGTGGGAGGAAGGGGATTGTATTAGATTTGAGCTTGGATCGATAGAATAATGGAGATTTCGTGAGAGCCGGAAATTCGCAAAGGCAATCCATGAATAATGGTAGTCTCTGTGTTGGGGACATAGCACTCTTGCAGCGGGTCAGAGCGCTGGCTTTAGACTCCTGCAGTCGATAATAATTCCATGAGAGCATCCTGAGGAAATCGCAAATGAATCTGCATCTCCCAGGTCAGAGAGCACTCTGACGGTATCACTGTTCTCGTTGACGTCTCTCCGAAGAGCATTACTACGGTAAAGAGGAAGAAGCTCCGCCCAGAGGTCTGTCAAGCTGACAAAAAAAAGCTCCATGAAAATTCCCCGCTTCTTGGCACGACTCGCGTTGGGACCCCGTCCGAAGATGTTTTTCATCCGACCTGACCACCTGAATTCGCATGTATAAGTAAACTAATGCCAGGAGCCGAAGTACTGGAGTCACGTGTTCCTTCGAAAACTCCTCAAGAGGAAAGATCAACCTCCTCCTAAGTTCCTGTCCGTGATCTCAGTTGGCAGTGGAAACTTTTTTATTCTCTGTTTCTGCCTCTGAAATATTTGGTTCGAAGTATTCGTAGCTGCCTTCGTGAGGGAGAAGATGCGAGGCGGAAATCTGCTCAGCCTTGAAATGCTTCCTGAAGAACCTGAGTTCGACAGCTATCCAAAATTCACGGCATAGATCGCTTCTGGTCGGAGCCCGTATAATGGAGCGACGAACGTAAATTTCTCCAGAAAGGTTCCCAGTTTTCCCTTCAGAATTCCCACCTCCGCATCGGAGATGAACGATTGAGAGCAAGGTCCGGAGACAAAATACTCCAGCGCCGAAAGACAATTGGGGATCGTCCTGACGGAGGTGAGGGGTCTTCGGAAAATAAATATTGTTCAATGATGTCGATACGATAAGGGGCAGAGAAATCGGGAGATTCTCAGCTTGGTGCCCGACCGGAGCATGCGGAACCCCGGGAGCGCTTCTGCCCTCCCGGCCGACCGTAAAGGACTCTTATGCGACCCACGAAGATTCTTTTTCGAGCGTTCCCGCTACAGCCGCCACCAGGCAAGTTGACGCCCGAGAATCAATTTGAAGCTCGCGCAAAAGCATAGTTCTTCTGGAACGGTAGGGATCGGATTCAGGGATTCCGCGAATCGTCCAGAAAAAAAATGCCAATTATCAATTCTATGTGTGCGCGCCAGTTTTGGTGCTTTTGATCAGGCGGAAGCAAGCTGAAGATATTCAAATGGTATTTTCATTTCTGAGAGGATTCCTGAGCTTCTAGATTCCCTATTCACCGGAAAACAGACTGATAAATGAATTCTGAAGCCTACGTTCAGATGCACTCCATGTTTCGGATCATGGGAAGATGCCTCCTCAAGCTCGACGCGATCGTGAATGCGTTTGTTTTCGTTTCATTAAAGTCGTGCTTGTGGTAGTGGGTAAACGAAGAGACGGGAGCGTGACTCAGCGCGAAGAGAGATTCGATTCTCCAGCTTGGGATTTCCGCGCGGGGTGACTCGTTATGGGTTCTCGGTCTTATTGTAGCTCAGACGAGTGTCACGGAAATTTCCCGCAAAAGTCAATGATCTTCCGCATGAGTTGGGGGATTCTGCGCGAATGCCAAAACTGGTAAAGCCCGCTGAGGTCTTGAGGAGCCGCAACGACGCCGCTCGCGCGGGAGGCGGTGTGGGTTCGATCCCTGCTGCCGGAAAAATATGCAGGTACTCGGCCTTGATCCTCCTGGGTACATTTTCTCTATGGATCCGTCCTCGGAAGCAATGTGAATAACAGTACCCGGGACGTTAAACCTTGGCTGTGTGGAACAGCCCGAAAAAGTGAGGTCTTGAGGAGCAGCCGTTGAAGTCTCGCGTCTCACCAGAGGGATGCGAAAACTTATATATACCCATGCTCCTTCGTATCTTGAAGAATGCAGACCCATACGAACCACGTTCGCTAGAGCTCAAACACGGCAATGAGAAGCCTTAGCATCAGGGAAAAATCGCACATTGAGCCTAATCTGACTGTGGAAATACCTTCGACTGTATAGGGCAACGGTAGAGTGAACTTCTGTCCGCAGTTCGAGCCTAAAGTCACTGGGGACGACTGTCACGACAAATTGAAGTCAGACGAAACTTGGGCTAGAAACGAGTCTAGAATTCCGCACCACGGCAAGCAGATCTAGGAAGCGCGATATTGGGAGTGCTCGATGGAGAAAGAGCAATCTTTCGAAAAGAGAGGGCGCGAAGCCAACCCAGAGCGCTAAGTTCACAATCGGCATCACGTTTCTCCCACGCGCAGCCGGAACAATTATCAGAGGCACTCGAGAGTCGTTTCCCATTGCTTGAGCGAGAAATCACACTCCATGCACGCACCCAACTCTGCTCCAGAACTTTGCACAGCTGGAGAGTACATCCCGAGTTGGACGAGTTCGCTGTCAACGTCGGTTGCGGCGATCGGTGCCGTAGAGCACTCTTGAACTCTCGGGTGTGGGCCAAGGTCGCGGGAGGGCGGGTCATTTGGCCGCACAAGTAGCCGATCGCACGGTTCGCCTCGTCTGCCTCACCGGCTTGGCTCTCCGTTCCCTGTGTGCTCCCTTGGTAAACCATTCCGAGAATTCGCGCGAGATCGTTGCCATGTTCTCGTCTATTCTAAAGCCCTCGTTCATAATAATAATGAATAGCGAAGCTGAAGATCACGTCGGTTTCACGTACCAGCTGACCCGCTCTCGCGATTCCAACTGCCTGGTTGTAAATTATCGACAGAGCGCTGTTCTGTCTGGACTGGCATTCTTGGACCCTGTTTTTCGAATAAGAGCTCCGCTTGGACTCCTTCTCCATTTGCGCGGATTTCTGCCGCACAGGAAAGCTCCAGATACGCACATTCCCATCTCGGAAGCTCCCTCGGCGTGCTGCGCATTCAAATCCTCAAGATTTTGACCCCTTTACAGTCGATGCGATCAAGCTCGCGTCTGGGAAACCCGGGGACGAGAAAATCGCGAAAACGACGCTCTTCCGTCCGGCTAGGGAACCGGTTCCAGGCCGTAAGCTCACTTGGCCAATACTTGCTCATGTTGAAGGTTCCTCGAGACCGACTCCGGGAACGTAGCGCGAATCCCAGAGAGATCGAGGAAACCGAAAGGGATAGTTAGGATGCCCCCGAGGAGACAGTAACGAGTTTGCGGAACGAGACATCGTCAATGGAATCTCATGGCTGGAATTGCCACGCTCGAGTGTGGAATGCCACCTAGAGTGGTCAGCGAGGATCTCACCCTGTAGTCGCTAAAGAACGCACGGCGCTCGAAGGCGAACACAGACCGCATCGACAACCGGTTCCGCGAACCTTCCTAAGTGAGCTGACTGTCCGGGGGACCGGAGATTTGGTTCGTCCGATCCCGGAATCGTCCCGGTTGTTCATCGTCCGCGCGCGAGGTAGACCGATTCTGTGCCAGAACAGCTACCTCATTTCATCTCCGAATCCGACAGAGCATCGGTAACGCGATACTACTCGTGCGCGAATGCACAACGATACGAAGTTCTCCGGTCGGTCGCGTAAATGTCAGACTGCATTCGCTCAACGCTGAGCAGTAGATTATCTCATTGAATCTCGCTGATGCAAACGCTGTCAGCGGTCCCTATTGAGCTGGGACAGGCTTGGAAGAACGATTACGATCGATTGATAACAATCGAGCATATTCGAAGAGGTGTCAGAGCTTCGATCCCGTTGGATCCCGAAGCGGGAAGTCCAAGGAAAGCGGCTCGGGTAAACTTTGCAAACTTTATCCAGTGCCGAATTCGATCGAGAGACCTCTCGACGGATTATCCCGCTCGTGTCGAGTCACTCGAAGCCTTGCAGCATCGACCCACGGCGCGGCGCGAGCCAGATGGATTGCCGCGGTTGAACTGACTTAGCTCGGGATTCCGAATCTCCTAGTCCAGCGTCAGAACACACAAGGCGAGTCACTCGTCGCTTGTGGTGGCGAATACTGCAAGACAGTAGCAGCAGCAGCTTGTTCCAATTGACGCTGATCGCTCACCGACAATTACGAGAGTTTATTTCATGTGGTCGGTAGCGGCGCGGCGTTAGCGGCTCGACAACCACCATCACCACAGATTCCACTCCGAGCCGCCGGTCAAAAGACACTGATGTCTTCTGTCAGACTCCAGACTCCTAGATTAATGTCGATGACTGATTCTCTCCTTTGACAGACAGACTCTCGAGCGACGCACGGCTTCTCTTCTCGAGTTTTTGCCGCGCGGCAAGTTGCGCGAGCGAGTTGCGCGAGCAAGGGCGTACAGTCCGATCGAATCGTCTGGATGCCGTTCTCGGAGATGCACTGAGAATCCCGCGCTCAGTCCTCTTTTCGCCGAATAATCGGAGCAGGACCGAAGCGGCCGACTTCTCCGCACATCCAAACCAATAAAGCTAATAATAACCCGGAAGGACGACTCGCTGTCTACGCTATCGTCGTCGTTGACGTCGCTGAAACACACCGCACTTGCATCGGACACAAAGTGATGGCCAAAGAAGCTCTCCTCTATAATCCTGGCGGTCGGTATCGTACTCGCTCGATCCGGTCCGCTCGGTCACGCGATCCGTCGGCTTGTCACCTCGAGTTTCGGAATCAATAAATGAATAGTGATAATTGTTGCTCCGGGAGATCGAGTGAGCAGGTGTCTCGGTCGCGGCCGCCGCTGCCGCCGCCGCCATCGTCGTCCTTGTTCATCCTACTTACCTTTTGAGCATAGAGGAGCTGGTTCCAGCAGACCTTGAGGGTTAGTCACATGGGACGGAATCTTCGACAACACACAGAGCACTTCGAAACGCCACAGCACTCGGTCTGGGAGCTCTCGTACGAGTGCTGCTCACTTCTATTCGACGTCGCCGTTGTATGTACCACAACACGCTCTGCTTTACTCACTGCTGAACAAAGTTCTCAGCTGTGCACCAGCCTCCTCACTCAGTCAGTCGGACAGACCTCCTTGGCCGTGCCAGTAACAGCAGCGGCAACAGCAGATCATCGACACCACCACATACAAAGACACACTCGCGGCGGCGACGACAACTAGCCAACCAGCAGCAGCACAAACAACAGACGGTCGTCGTCGCGTTAGAATCAACGCACACACATACACAAAGATTCTTGACAAAGTGTTTCCCGTGACCGCGCATGCGTCGGAGGCAAGGAGGAAAGTAAAACGGCGCGGGCTTTCGAACATTTACCACAAGCAGAGTGACCGGATTATGAGGAGCGTCCTTCGGCCGCATATTCCGGGACCGAGAGACGGATCGGCGTTCTCCCCCTCGAACTTGAATATTTCCCCCCTTTCCGCCCCTCCCCCCGCCATTCTGTTCCAGGCTGTAACGAGCTCCAAATTATTCAGATCATCGGGCTGCGATAAGTCCCCGAGATCGCTCGCTCACGCGAGCCACCTCTCTCGTCTCAGGGGGATTTGATCGCAAATCCGCGCGGATCCTTTGACCTCAAAACTAAATGATCGAGAGGAGCAAGCGGAGGTCGCAGGATCATCGTTCCAAGCGGTCACAGAGCTCCCCGGAGGCGCGATCGCTACCGCTGCGGTCACTCTAAAGTCTCCACCACAATTCGATACCTATCTACTCCCACTTACCTGAGATCATGCTCTCGTATCTGGCTCAGAGCTTTCATGATGGAACAATCCTGCGTAGATAACCCGATATTCCCTGTACACAGTCGTAGGTTATCCATGGCCGCAAGCAAGCAGGTGAACAATCATCACACAAATACTGCGCTGGGAGTAGTTCTCCGAAAGAGGTAGTCTGTGGTCTGGGCTCGGTTTACGTCCCTATCGAGTCAACTCTTATCGAAATCCATAAACTTCCTTGTGATTCAAACAAGCTCTCACCCAAATTCTTCTCCGATGATCGATGGTGAAAACAAAAGAACCAAAACGTTTTCGTCGCAGATGCGCTCCGGCCGACTGAGACTCAGGGGACGGGTTTTCTGAAAGCTCGAACCGAGCTATTGCGCTCCGCGATGCCTGCCGAGTCGGGGAAACACATCAATGACTGTGACAGCGGCAGGAGATGAACTGCCGATCGGACCGGCACTTCCAGTGGGCCAGTGAGGCGAAACGGCAATGCTGCGTCTTGATGACGTTCAAATGCGATCGTTATGTTCTCGACAGGGCACGGAGTAGTCGACAGTTGTATAATAAGCTACCAGTCAGGCAGACAGTTCGGCAGGCCGAGGACCGGGTCCACGAGGAAGCAGCCGGAGCGGTTGCAATCGGCTCCAACAAGGTATAATGATTAGTGCACTTGCAGATTTCTGCCCGTCGAAGATCAAGGCCGCTGACGGATAAGCTCGATTGATAAGAGGCACCGACCGCTCCGAAGCCTCGGTGAGGATGGATATCGCTGTCAGCGTCGCGGAGTGTCATTTGCATGATTGCAGTGCCGAATCTTTCTGTCACTCCATCTCCCTGCGGGAGGTGCGGTGTCTTCTGGAACTGCTTTATCCGAAACGAAGTCATCAGCGCTGTGTAGGATCGGCCACTCAACTTCGTGCCGTTGTCACTCAGAAGCTCAGGCGGGATCCGATGTGGACAGAGCAAGTCGATCGAGCAAGTAGTCGACTACCGCCTTTCCCCGATCCGGGAACGCTCTGCGCTCGTTAGGGGAACGATACATTACATCCAATGATCCACACGTATAAATACGTACGGATTATTCATTCCTTCATCAGGGAGATATTCCTTCCCAAGTGAGTTTAGGTTTCATACCGTCCGGCGTTCCCTAATTCCAATAAATGAAAAAGCATTCGTCTACCAACTGTTGCGTGTCAATCCACTTTCCACGGATGCGGAGCACCCGTAGAAGACCGCGACGCCGAGCCGGCATGGCTGACCAGCCTGGGAGTTTGCATCAACATTGTTTCCTCTCGTACCTTCATTCCTCGCTGCAAGGACAATCGCCTCTCTTGACGAACTTCCAGTAGAAAGATCCTCGAAAGTGTCCCGAGACGCAGAAAAAGTTTTGTTCATCTATGTCCCGGAGAACCCGGTGTATTCTCGTTGTTACGGCCGCTCAATGTAGGTTAAAGTTTCGATGCAGATAATCTCTGGATTTGCGAAGGGGAGTCGGGCTTCAATAGGCACAGGCTCCCATTTGCTGTGTGTCTTCTCTTTGATAAAAGCTCGGACTGTCCGTTTCTGAGCCACATGATCGCAAACATCTCCGTCGCGGTCCGATCATGTAGTATCTCTAGAGACTTCGGGAGGCGTCAGCGACAGTTGGAGTTTCTAGGGACGATTCCGAGGTCCGAGTCAGCTGGAAACATCTGACACCAGTCAAGTAGAAATGTTAGCGTCGAAAGTGGTAGGTCTCAGGGGAATGGTCTTAGGCAGAGGCGTCGTTTCCTACTGAGGGAATCGTCAAGAGGGTACATGACTCAGGAAATAATCTTCTTTCCCTTTCGACGGTTGGGAGATGACTTGGAACCAGTGTTTCAGACAGAGCATGATTCGTCAGAGTGAGGTGAACTCGGTATAATTGCACGAGATTGTGGACTCGACGAGACGGCCCGCAGATAAGGTGTTCGTGATTTCCAACCTCTGGAAGAGGTAAATGTTGAACTCGGGCATCGCGAACGCCATATCGGAAGCTCTACTTCTTCGCGCGTGGATGAGGAAGAACATAGGCTACCTCTGGAGCGACACGTTCTCGAAAATTTGAACTTTCGATGGAACGATGCCTGTGCCTAGAAGCACGAAGCACGAGTAATCTCGACACTTACTTCCGACACTGGCTCTTCTCCACCACCGGGAGTCGCTCGGTCGGTCGTTAGTTGGTGTCGACGAAGACCTTCCCATCAGGGCGGGGAAGCGAATTAGCGGATTCATCGCATGAGAACCTATTTCGGCGAACTCTGGTCAAGTTTCGCACGACCATCGGGGATCGAGGTGTCTGGATCGAGGGAGCGATGTCCACCGTTCGGACGCGCATTCGTGAAGCATACCGTCATCAGCACCCAGGGTAGAGCGACATCGTCACAAAAATTGAAGATCTAGTCTGCGTCATCTACACCGAAGGTTCATGAATCATTGTCCATTCATCTGGATCCCTCTGAAGGCTCTGGCTCGCCTGAATATTCCTTCCCCGAATACTCTGTCGTAGTGTACCTGATGCTCCACCTTTGCGGACCAGAATATATTTCCTCGCGGAACTGAAACGGAGGTCTCCTCATCCTGGATGGCGCAGGAAGCCTCGCGAGAGACGCTCTCATCTGAAATGATTCGTGAGAGATTGGATCTCCTGGGAGCTTCAAAAGCGAGGCTGGAGATCTGGTGCGACATTTCCGGATCCCAATAGACTCTCTACAGGGCATATATGGAATTTCTGACGCCAATTCTCTACCCCTAGATCAGGGATAGAGTTCACAGGCGCGGTCTATTCGAGACCTCTCTGAGTCACCCCCAGTCAATGTTGTCTTTGTGGCACAACCTCGCTCTCCTAGTGGATCATCGAATCCTGGGTGAGAAACCCCCCCCCCCCCCGACTCCGTCGTTCGTTCATGACTTCTTGTCCGAGGACGATGGAGGAGCAGCGAGTTGTAGGCTGCCACGGGAGGCGAAGATGAGAAGTAGCGGTCGATCACAAGCACAGTATATCATCGATTACATACAAATCACGAAGCGGGCGATACTACCGAAGCATCGTGCCGCGGACAGCGATCGCGGCTTCCCTCTCGAAGAATCGTTCATGTTGGAATTCTTGGATCTAGTCAAAGACGCGCTGCGTTCGATATTCTCCAGGATCCTCGAATCGCACATCCCTGAATCACGCATACCCGAATCGCATCTCCTCCAGATTTTCTCGAACGCACCGCCGCGCCGTAGGAATGAGCGAAAGCGACGCGACTAGCCCTGAACTCGCCCAACTCTGGCAGCCTGACTCCGGTACGTAGCTCTTATTCGATATTTGTGGAGATTTTCGAGTTATCCGCAGATGATTGACTCTGACCGAGGATCCCTCTCCTCGCTTCCAAACGCATCGACAGTATAACTACATATCTGATGACTATTTCCAATCCATAACAAATAAATGAGTTTTCGCGAGAAACCAGGCTTCCCCTCTCGTGGGGGGAATTCCGTGAACGACGATGGCGGGTCATTAGCACAAGCCTCGAGACGGTAGTCTCTCTTTCTCATTGATTACCCGAGCTTGCTCTACGAACTCCGTGCCCACCGTACGTAGACAGGGGGCGGCCGATATCACCCGAGCTTGCTCCCCGAACCCCGTGGCCGTCATACGTAAATAGGGGGTCGCTCATCTATCAGCTTACCGAGAACCAATGTCGGGTGTTCCCCCAACCACATGCATCCTTGCTGAATCAGACACGGGTATAAGCTCTCTGAAGGCGTGCAATAAACACAGAAGACTCTAACCCGTAAACGCTGCCCCCAATTCGTGATACTGCGAGGGTGATCCGAGTGTATCAATGGAAGGAGGAAATTTATTCCGTAGCTTAGCGGAAGGGATAGCCCAATCATGCTCAAATCGTCAGTAAAGATCATGGACATCATTGTCCACACTCGACAGACCTCCACATTTGTAGGACTTTACCCCGCGCTGATTTTGTACGCTTCCACCCAGAGAGTGATATACGGTCAATTGTACGTTATCTCAAGCATACGTACGGGCGTACAAAGCACGTCTCCAGACCGTAGGGGCTTTCGAGCCGAAACTTTCATGGTTAGAGCCGACAATGCACGCTTTTCATACCAGCTGATCACTGATCAACTGATCAGTGAAGGCTCTGAAAAATTCTGTGTTCCAGATGTGTGGTGGATTCCGCCGCTTTTCTTTGCTGAAGTCGAACGATACCGAAACGAGAGTCTGCCGAGAGAGCAGTGATCTCTAGTGTCATACAATCGTTTCTCTCTTGTTTGAAGCGTGTGCGCGGAATCATGGTCCGGTGCAGCATCGCGCGTCTCTGTGAAAAGGTACATATCACTAGGGTTTGGCATTCATCGCGAGACGCGATCCGCGGGGTGCGTCATTCGGAGCCGGTTCTACAACAGGAGCTCATGGCATTTGTAATGTCTCGCGGAGCTCCGGAGAAAACTCCGCGATGGATGTCCAGCCCTAGGTATCACCCATGACTTCGTCCCGAGAGAATTATCGATGCTCCCCAGTACCTCTATCGTTCGTTGTCGATGGATTATTTTTCCGCAGCAAATCGCCCGGGCGGCACCCCTCGTTCTTCCGCGAAGACGGTTCCTCGATAGGGTTCACCTGACCGTATGTGGCGGTGTCGGAGGATCGGGATATCCGAAGATCATGGGTATGTTCCGAGAATCGGGAGTCACAGCTCGGCGAGCCAGACGAGGCTTCCACGTTTCGAAATATTTCGCTCCAGGTGTTGGCGGGCGAGGTGGGAACGTTTATATCGAAACGAATCCGAAGGCGACCCTCCTGAAGATTTTGAGGTCGTTCCCCGATCACAAGGTGAGGGGCGGTTCCGGCGGCAACAGTGCCCATCATCAGCTTCTTGGGCAAAACGGGACGGATACAACGATTGAGGTCCCCCTCGGTGTCACGGTAATGGGTCCGCGGAAAGAAGTGATAGGTGAGCTTTTTTCGGTCTTGCGGGAACTCAGGGTTTGCTACATCCGGGTCTCTCGGACCTCTCGCTGAGATCCTCGGGAGCCGAGCTCTCACCTCGACGGCGAGCAATATTTGATCGATCGATATGTCTTCGATTCCAGCCGACCTCATCAAGCCAAATCAAAAAATCTTGATTGCCGAAGGAGGGGAGGGTGGAACTAGCAAGAACAAATATCGGGGACTTCGAGGCAGCCAGATACAGATAGACCTGGTACTGAAACTGATCGCGGACATCGGTTTCGTCGGTTTCCCGAACGCGGGAAAATCCACTCTCCTGAGGGCTCTATCTAGGGCTCAGCCAAAAGTTGCCAACTATCCATGTGAGTGAAGCTGAGACCTCTGACTCCGAGGCCCTTCGCAAAGTCTCGGCTCAATACACGTATTCTTATCGGCCATATGAGAAGATGCGTCGTTGCTTGTCGCACGAAATTACGGCTTGTATGAGTGGTCTAGAGTCTAGACGAAATGATAAGTCGAATACGCAACTCGAATCCGGTGTCGCTTGCTTCATGAAGCATCGCTTTCTTCTGCCAGTCACTACGATACGGCCGAATATCGGAATCATGGAATACGCTGACGCCCGACAAATATCCTGCGCCGATTTGCCCGGACTGATCGAGGGCGCCCATAGGAATGTTGGTCTTGGTCACAATTTCCTGCGACACGTCGAGAGAACGTCGTTGCTTCTCTTCGTGGTCGACATTGGAGGCTTTCGTTTGGGTCCTGCCAGCCCCGAACGCGATGTGTTTGAAACTATCATGAGCTTGAATAAGGTGAGCCCACCCCCGAGTCGAACGGTATCAGAACTCGCTCGAGATATCATTCAATGGTACGCCACTTTTTCTTGCAGGAGTTGGAGCTCTATCGCGAGGATCTTCTGACGAAGCCGGCCGTCCTTGTCGTGAACAAAATGGATACTGAAGGAGCGGATCAAAAACTGAAAGATCTACGCTACAAACTGACCAGCGATGGAGCTTACGAAGACTTACCAGCAGAAGTCAGACCGATGCAGCGGATTAAATTCAGGGATTTGGTTAGTTTCTGTTTTTTAGGCTAAAGCCCGATAATGCATCGGCCGTTAGAGGCGTCCAGTTCTCATTCCCCATCCTCCTTCGAATGGCCAGTCGTCACACGTTGGTCTTTCCAATCTGTACTCGATCGTTGAGAAAAATCGATCCGAGTTTTCATTCGTCGGCCGCAATCAGCAGAGGGGAAATTCCCGCTATAAGCTTATCGAGAGAGTTCATCAAGAGGGTTCTCCCGCAGGTTGGAATATCCGCAGCCAAAAGGGAAAATACTGAGCAACTCAAAGAAGATCTGAGGAAGCACCTGGAGGAATCGTTCGAAGGGAACGAGGGAACAGGGAAAAAAGATACAGAATCGACCCGACCGCTGAAGCTGGAACGTCAATCGATGTGAAGACCCAATTTGGTCATACCTGTACATATATTGAAGAGAATATATATTCACCCATGGTCCGGATGCTCTTTAGTTTCCTAGCGAAGCCGCTCAAGCCCAGTAGACGTGCTCGTGATCAGATACGCAATTCCCTGAGTTTTCCCGGGAAAAGTGGTCGTCGGCGAATTTTCCTTTTGGTATTGTCGATGACTTTCCATTGCTCGATAGTTCGGCGTACGACCAACCGGAGTCATCAGAAAGGGGAGAGCTATTCCGATTCCCGCTCTTTGGGATACAAGTTGCGGATCATTTGTCTCCCTTGAACGCGCTCCAGGTACTCCGAGATTTGGTTCATCGTGTCCGCTCGCTTCATCTGCAGCACCGCTTGTACTCAACCAAGAGAGCCGAATCCACTCAACGACTATCGGCGATAGTCTATCGTCTATCGCTATTCATGACGAGCTCGAGTTCATGATATCGACGCCCCGGCTGCCGCGGTAGAATGAGCGACGTGTGCATGCCGGAAGCCTTCACGGATTCCGAAGTGCCCAGTCAGGGATCATCATCAGCAGCAGCATCAACAGATCGGACCTCTTCCGCGATCCGCGAGCGCTCACGAACGAAGAAATCCTCGGAGGAGATACCTGAGAATTTCCCTGTCTCTGAAGTTCATACCCGCGAATCGAGCGTCTCCCAGCCTTAGAGACTAGCGCTCCATTTCTGTCAGGACTCATGAAGCCTCTTCTCCTCTTCTCCATCTCACCGGTACCGGCTGTTTTGGTGATGTGCAGGCAGGAAGCGGCTCAGGCTTTTCCGTCTGCTATTCCGTCAGTTGAGTGAATGAGGGTCTTCTCCAAGGACTCCTTTCTTGCGCATCTTGCTTGTTGTGCTGCTCTGGCGCGACGTGGTTGACAAATTTTCAGTTCCGTCTCTACGGACGCTCATCTTCAGGAGACAGTTTCAGCCCCGGACGTTGTCAGGGCGCTCACTCTGGAGAAAGTGTTGACCTCCGAGGTGGTGCACACCAGTTGTTGTTGTTGAGCAGCGAAAGCATCGTCGGTCGGAAAGAGCAGCAATACCCACGATAACAGCTGTAGGAGCAGGCAGATCGACGGCTAAAGGAGAAGAGCGTTTATTCCCCTCCCCCGGTTCTATCCGAACAGCCTGCTAATCACAGCGGTTCTTGTATTCATCGACATTTTCTCGTCGTTTCCGTGATGCGGATACACCGTCCAGGAGCTGATTCCGCTTTTGTGTCCGTGCGGATCCGGGTCTCTATTTCGACTCGTTCGAGGGATTTATTTTCCATTAGCTGAACAGGAAGGTACGAGAAGGAATGCAGAAGTCGAATACATGTAAAAAAGAAGCAATCGTTTAAGAGTTCACCTTAACTTCGCGCTACGTGTCTACCAAAGAAAGCTCGTCTTGTGATCGTGAGAGTGTTTACTCAGCTGTATGAGAGACTACATTGGAATAAAAGAAGACTTCTCGAACACATGTGACGATGGTGAGGTTCCAAGAGTCCAAGGGCTACGATCGGGTTTCTGGAAGTGGCGTCGAGATGTTGCGAAATAGGTCCCAACAAACAGCTGTTGGCTGGATACACACCGAGACGCCATCGAGCTCCGATCAAAGGGGATTCTCTCGATCGGATCGTCCTCCGATCGACGCAAGAGAACCACTCTACGCCCTCTCTGGCGATCCCATGCACAAGTTGGACTCTCCGACTTTCTCGAGGCGGTCTACTGCTCGTCGATCGTGATGCCGAGAGCTCACTACAGCACGCCATTGCAGAATCGTCTAAAAGCCTCGCAGTACCTCCCGGACGAGTCTATAGAGCGTTACAGTCGTCAGATTCTCCTGCCTGAGATCGGTGTCAACGGAATGCACAAGTTGTCAGCTGCCAGCGTATTGATCGTCGGAGCAGGGGGTCTGGGATGCCCCGTGGCCATGTATTTAGCAACTTCTGGTGTCGGAACAATCGGTAGGTTGAAATCCACCCCATAGCTGAGACTTCTCATGATCTATGCCGCTCCCATGGACCTGTCCCCCCATCTATAGGTCGGGTACGAGCTCCCGAGTACGGACGTGTAGGGTCCATCGTGATTGCAAGCCGACTCAAACTCCGGCAATCGATTTCCCCGGCGTGCCGCGCGCATCCTCTAATCCTACCTGCTGACGTCATATTGGATGAGTGTCCGATTCGACGCTTTCCTGGGCCGGCGGACTCCGATCGGGAGAGCGACGTCTCATTCGTGAAGCAGACCGAATCTTCCGTTTTCCGGGAGGAATCTGTCCGCGTGATTTCGAGGGAATCCACGGTCGGAGACAGCGACCCCGAAACGACTCGAGTATATTTCGGGAAATTTACGACGGATCTCAACTTCCCCGACTGGAATCCGAGGCTGGGGACTTGGTGATTTCCACCCGAAGCTTCCCCGGCAGCGAATGTGCACATGCAGTGACACTCAATCTTGTTTGCGCTCTTCTTCCAGGTATTGTTGAATATGACGTCGTGGAATTGTCGAACCTCCACCGGCAGATCGGACATCGCGAGGCGTCGGTCGGCTTCAGCAAAGCCAAGAGCCTAGTGAGCACTTTGAAAACGCTCAACTCATCGATCAACTACATGTCCTTCGAAACAGCACTGAGCGACAGCAATGCCAAAGGAATCGTCAAAGAGTATGTCGCTGGACCGATCATTCCATATCTCGATGATTGAGAGAATAATGTCCCCTCAAATCACAATTCTCTTTCTGGCTCCCCGGATATTCCTCGATACGAGGGTCGTTGACGCCTTGGCCTCCCTCGGCCGAGCGACTGTCCTGTTCTCCGGAGACAAACATGACTGAATATTTATTCGGATTTCTTTTCCCGATAGTTTCGACGTGGTCGTGGACGCTACCGACAACGTATCCAGCCGATATCTACTAAACGATGTTTGTGTGCTCCTCCGCAAACCCCTTGTGTCAGGGTCGGCGCTCCGTTGGGAGGGACAGCTCACGGTTTACAACCACAAGACGGGTCCTTGTTATAGATGTGTATTCCCGAAACCACCTCCACCCGAGACGGTGACCAACTGCTCGGATGGAGGAGTCTTGGGACCGGTCACCGGTGTTATCGGCTCGATGCAAGCACTGGAGGTTATCAAGATTCTGCTGGACGAAGACGGTTAGTGCACGACTCGGGATATGCCACGCCCTCTCGGTCGCGTTCGCGTCTGTCCTCGATCCCACATCCCTGTACCCACACTCCCCCGTTGAGCATTTATTATCGTTATTCCCGGTATTGAGGATGATTTCTCCATGCGTCGATTTCTTTCGAGCAGGTGTCCTCTACGGCCGCTTAGTGATGTTCGACGGGCTGTCCGGAAGTCACCGGACGTTCCGTCTCCGTGATCGAGACCCGCAGTGTGCAGTTTGCGGCGACGAGCCGACAGTCAGCGAGCTTATCGACTACGATGCTTTTTGCGGTTCATCTGCGTGCGATAAAATCCCCTCGTTGAAAATCCTTGCCCCTCAAGACCGCTATTCACCAGAGGTGAGCTAGGAGATGTTCCCGATGGCGATCAGATCGAATTCTGGCAACGCTCGGTCTGCGCTGCCTATTCGTAGCAGGTCAATAATAATTAATGCTCATTCCATGGCTTTCAGGAGTTCAAGGAGCGATTGCTCAACGATCCCTACGTACACATAATCGACGTACGACCGTCGGAAGAGTTCGCGGTTTGTCACATACCCGATTCTCTGAATCTGCCATTCGAAGAACTGAAAGCGAGCCCTAGCTCACTCTACGAAGGCCTGCAGGATGTTATTGTTGTGTGCCGTAGGGGCAACGAGTCCCAACTCGCTGTGAAGATGCTCAAAGATTTGGGAGTTACCGCAAAAGATGTCGTGGGTGGTCTTCAAGCGTGGAGCCGATTACCCGGTGTCTCCTTCCCGTCCTATTGAAAAACGAAATGTGTAGAATACCTGGCTTTGGATTGAGTGTGATTCGTGTTTCGAGTTGCTTTGTGCAAATGGGGAAGATCGCTCCTTAGGAGCGAAGGAGCCAGTGTGTATCTAAGCACTAGAATAAACTTGATCGAGTGTATGAGTTGACTTTATGGAATCCTACAAACACAAGCATTTAACAATTGTGCTCTAAATATATAATAATGTAAAATTTCTCCTTCCTCGCCTTCGGAGAGACGTGATCGACAAAGAGTTTCCGTCTCCCAGATAGCTGTTTCATGTAGAGGTAGGAGCAGCACTTGGATCGCTCAATTATCAGCGGAGAAACCGGTCGGTTAGCTGCATTTGCTACGAACTAGGAAGACTTTGGCTTTCGACGAAATTCCATGTTGGCATCCGGAGGGGCCAGGACGAATTCCGGCTCCGGTACGGCCAAATCTCGGGGTCGTCCGTGTGTAAGAGCTCGCCGTTGCTCCGGGGCCGAGGTATCGCGCATTTCTCTTAGCCTTCTCTCCTCAGAATCCGACGCTCGAGGGGATTCCGAGCGATCATCTTCGTCGAGATCTTGAGCTTCGCGGTTGGGAGTTGAGACTCGGGAAGGCTCGCTCGTGGGATCTCGCGCTCCCGTCGAGGAAGATTTTTCGTCCTCCTGCTTCCTATCAGATGAATCTCGTACTTCATGTGGGGTCGAGATCCCATCGGGACCGTCTTCAGGGGCTTGTGCTTTCTCCAGCGTCAATGGTTCGTTTTCTCCATCCGATGAGCCTGAGACTCCATGAGGGATCGAGATCCGGGACGCTCGGCTTTCAGAAGCTCGCGGCCGCTCGAGAGCTGGAACTTCTACTGCTCCCTCGATCGAAGCCTGTGGGTCCTCTGGGATCAGCGGGCTCTCGTCCCCACCTCCTGGAGCACGTTCTGACTCATCCGAAGAACTCAACGGCTCCCCAAGAATCAGTGGCTCGTCGGCTCCCTGTGGGGAATTCCGGGTTACCTCCAGGTTCTCTGGGCTGGGGTCTTCTTCAGTAGGAGCTCGGTGTCTGCCTGGGGCGCGAGACTTCGGCGATTTTTCGGGAGAGGCTTCAGAAACCGCGGGTACAAGCGTAAAATCCGTAGATGAATTCTCGAATTCGGACGGGCTCCCGGTCGGTCTCTCCGTCACATGGACTTCTGGGGTGCCAGATTCTGTCGACAGCCTCTGCGAGCCTTCAGAAGGTTCTTCGACGTCACTCCTCAACCCACCATCTTCGTAGGCTATCTCATGGGCTACCACTTCCTGGAAGGAATTACCATCCGATATTATGCAGACTCGATGGCGGTTCGACTCGGTGGGGGAAGCACTCCCACCGTTCCATTCCTCACGTGACACATCAACAATCCATATTTGTTGGAAGCGTACCTGCGGCGTTTCTTCTTCGATCCTCCGGAGTTCCGCTCTAAGCCAACTTTCTCTTTCTCTTCGAAGATCGGACTCATCCTCTCCGTTCAAACCTCTCACAAAATCCTTTCGGGGCATGTGGCCTAAAAACCACGGGCGATAAATGAAAGATGTCTCACGTTTTGATACGATCGATTTGGATCCACTCAGCCAGTAATCGAGCTCCTTATGTATCGCTTGTGTGAATATCCTCCGGAAGAATATGATCCCGGAAGGATAAACCGGAGGAAGGAGCTCACCATATGATTCCTGGGGACCTGGTCTGCTTCCTCTATCGTTACGGTCTTCCCCGCTTCCACGAAGCTTGCGAAGATGCTCTTGCCAAGCGGCCTCATACTCCTTCGCTACCGGATCGATTCCTGCTGCAATACAGATCCGAGTCGTGGTTCCAGGAGCAGAACAATTGTATGGTTTATGGCTCCGATCACAGAGCCAAATTCTATCCCATGAGGGTCGGGGAGTTGCTGGACGAGATGCGTCGTCGCTTGTTCGAGATTCGCATTCCCGAGGTCTCGGAGCTAATCAGACTGCCACCAATAGAACCATGCCGGCTTTGGGATGAAAATTGGATTATCTGAGAGGTCTGAATGTTTTCTGCTATGTTTATCTCGCGAGTGAAGGAGACCTATTCGGCACGACGGGTCGTTGAACAATCAAACAGATTTGACTAGAGCCGGCACTTCGCGAAGTCAAATGAATCTCGGTCGACCGACCGGGAGAAGCAGGAGGAAAGATAGTTCCATGTCAGGATGAAGCTCACCAGCAATCTCGCAGTTTTCGCCATCTTTGTCTCGGACATATCCTTGGCCACAAGCGCAGACGAGACCTGCCGGGGAATCCACGCATCTCTCGTTCCGAGATGAGTCGCAATCACGTGATGTAACGCAGGGTCTACGAAAGTTGCAATATCATCGTCACGTCAGGAGTATTGTTTGGTTAACTACCATCATTATCATATTCGGAGTCCGGAAGTGATCTTCTCCTGAGAGACATGGAAAAGTTGGCAGGTTACAGGCTCTGAAAGATTTCGACTCACCTTACGGTCCGAGAGTCGACGCTTGAAGCGCTTACGTCATCCTCATTGATATCGTCAATTTCGCGCTGGTCGTTTGGAGCAGCCTAGAGAGCGAAGCATGATTAATGATTTGCTAGGAAAATTAAGATTTATCGTCGCTATGAGATCTTCAACGGATCACATCTCTGTTCCCGTGAAGATCCGGAATGATAGAGGCTTAAATCTGCTCGCACTCTCGAACCTCCCGCTTTTTCGCTTTTCTAGGAATGAACCGCTGTCCCTCTCGAACTAAAGCTGCGGAGCAATCGGAGCGACAGGCGTATCTTCGATCAGCTAGCCCTTCCGCAATCTCACCCTCACTCTGGAACGGGTCTTCGCGACATTTTCACGCGAAATCGGATCCGATGCAACTTCCGCTTGACTGGCCTCGACAGGTAGTTCACCAGCGGCGGGATCTATGCGAAGTTCATCCGAAACACTCCCATTCTTCGCGACGATGACTGGGTCTTTTCTGTCGTTGGCATCGGCAATTATTTTGTTCACATCCGAGTGCGTGGATCTAACTGTCGGTGGCGACGTCTCTGTTCGAGCTTGAGAGACGATCCCATGCGAGAAGCATTGCCAAACGAGGAACGCGATTACGATGGACCGCATGCTGACACTTTTTGACGGTGGTCTCTACAAAATTCTGCTCGTAGCGAACGCCCGCTCTTGTTTGCTTGGTGTGCGTCTGTGTGTCGAGAACGGAATGTATCGTGTATGTGAGCGATGTGAATGTTGTTCTACAAACATCCGAAACAGGAAAGTTCGACGTGCGTCCGATGCCTCGCCCGATGCCGCTTTGCCCGCTCAGGGAACTTACGCCCTGGCGAAATTTCCGGTGAATCGTCCGCGGCGCACGAAAATTTATGAGCCCATGCAGATTCCCAAATCGACAGTTTTATTTCGTCCTGTTGACCGAGACGCTTCAGCGCTTGTAGACATCTCGCTTGTTAACGAAAAAGACGCTTTCGGGATGAGAAACCCGAAGGGTGATTCTGTTGAGCAAGAAAATCCTTGACCGCAATGACTTTCGTGTGCAGAAATTTCCCCACGTCGGGTGAAGTCAAATCAAACATTCGACGTGAGAGCGCATTATTTGGCCTCTCGAGCCGCTCCCGGAAGGTAATTTTCGGTAGAATAGGAGTTGTCGCGGAAGATGATCTACACGAGCAACGCTGCCGGGCATACGTGACACTCGCGGCTTCCTCCAAACTCTCCATGAGTTCTCCTCGGGGAATTCCAGCTTCGAGGCACTCTCCCGTAGACAGCGCTTTCTTCGATTCGGTTCACCACGTAGCCTATAACCGACTACAAACTACAAGGTCGAAAACGCTCAGATGCGAGCAAACCTTCTGGTTGGAACGTATCTAAACTTTCTGGGAGAAAACAAGTACCGAGCAACCGACCACTTTCGGATCAAGGTCACCCAGAATACCTAGCCCGTTGCTACGGGCCTCCACCTGGGAAATCGAACGAGATTTTGTGACGCGACATTAACGGCAGCCGGACTACTTCCAACCTGACAGCAGCAGCCTCAGCCTCAACCGGCCGGTCCATTCTGACGATACCCTGCTATTCAGTGCGAAGCCAGAAGCCGCTGACATCGGATCCAGCCTCGGGTTCCCCATACGGGGGGACCTCCGTTCCTAGGCGGAATTCCCGAGTCTGGGACGATAGGGGAGTGAAGCGAAAAATTATTCCAGAAGATGATCTATCACCGTAGAACGATTCCTGGCTTGAGCGAACGGGTCCGAAACCTCTCGTAGCTTTTGAAAATATCCTCGGTCTACGATAGGAAGATCGTCAGTGAGCTGGCATCTGGGGCATTCGTCACTTCCTCCGATCTGAGTGGGCGTTTCTCTCCTCTTTCAATCTTATAGGTACAGCGTACAGCGCAAGTCGATTATTTGCTCTTCGCATTCATATAATATCGGCAGCTCGGTCAAAACAAGATGATCACAGTCCGCACAGAGTAAGTCGTCGATATTCGATGGGAGCAAGAGCGGATTGATCTCATGTGTTTCGCGGTTTCCGAGCAAGTCGCTGTGAGGACGACTGAGCGGTATGGATCGCTAGTTTCAAAATATTGCGGTCGAACCAAGATAAAGAGTGTCTGAAAGTGAAGCGCCAGCTCTGCATTCAAATATTATACTCGAGGAACATCAAATCCCTATTGTCATCTGAATCGTAATCGCACGATCGGAGTTCCGGCCGGGAATCGAACCCGGTTCTTCTTTGCACAGGATGAAGGCTGCGCTCGGCAGCTTCTTCTGTGCATCGATGTGTTTCCTCTTACACCACCGGAATTTGTTCACGACGATTCGAATCAGGGTAAGACAATTGGGGAACCCAGCCTATACGATGCTAACGATGTCTGGACTTTGATCCTTTGATACGCTTACTCACTCCGACAGAGCTGTTGCGAATGGACAGGCCACTAAAAGCATAAAACGAATTTTTCTGGTACATACTTCAGGATTTCCGAAACCGATAGTTCCCATGCATACCTTAAAAAGTTCTGAAGGTGAACCCTTAGGAACGATCTTCTTCTGGTCATAATGGAGGTATAAGTACAGATAGGCCCATTTTTCAACGGATTCCACTGGATCTTGAAAAAATGTCTCCTACAAGCGGATATATCTATATCTATATCCGAGCATGAACATGGGATGCATCGGCAGCCGACGGCTCGCGCCACTCGTTTGTTCCAAGCGGGTGTCCGTTATCTCCGGGTCCTCTCTAGCTGGGTTCTCCTGTTTATTATTAACGCCTGAAAACCGATAGGAGTAATTGTCCGTCTCCCCGTCCTCCACAGAACTTACCCTTGCCGGCTTGAGATCGGCCATGGACGAATGTGACGGAAGTTTCAACCATTCCTCCCAGCCGGGTAGTCGTCGCACAGAATGAAAGTGAGACACAGCTGCCGACCGGGAAACGAACCTTTCAGCCGAACGATTTCCACGAACCTTGTCGGAGCTGATCCTATAAACAAACTTTTCAATCGAGTCGTTCTGATACCGGAGAACTACGTGGCCCCTCCAGGAACCGTTTTGCAGTCGTACCAGCTCGTCGCCGTTATTCCGGGGGATGAGAGGGGAAGAGGAAAAAACTCCTGGGAATTCCCAGTCCGGTATTCTCTGATACTGACAGATCTCCGCACCGTAACCCCCAGCAGAGTCGTTCCCCGGGGAATCCCCGTCAGGAACGGGAATGACGAATCGAGTCAGGATACCAATCGTGGCGGAAGAGGCGCCGCAAGCCTAAATCAAATCATTGGAATCGAAACTGACCGAATTTCACGAACCCGATCCACGAAATATCTAGCGGTGTATCATGACACAGTGATCGAACGGATCGAGCTTATCGGGAGACGATACTCATCGAGTCGATTCCGGGCTGGGTTGTCCGGGCAGAGTCCCCGAATCGCCCCATTTTTTCGATTCATCAGTTGTTCGAGAGAAGAGACGAGTCGAATGGGAGTAGTCGCAAGGCTCGGTTTCGTGACGCCAGCAGATCTCATCGCATCGGTACTACGACGAATCCGTCAACGATGATCGCATGCCTCCCCTTACGATCCCTCTCTCGATCCCTGCTCACGTAGTCGTTTCCTTTGTCCGTTGCTGGTTTAGTGTTGACGACGTCGGCGGCTGCAACACCGGCGGCGGCGGCAGCAGCAGCAACCGACATCGTAGTCGCTGTCGTCAACGAAGCACGCCACTCACCGACCCACCGACGGACTGACCCGACAATTCTCAATGCGAACCTGTCGGTCCCGCAGTCGTTTAGCGTCTTCGGACGCTGATGATGAAGTCTTCGGCTATCTTTAGGAGGATCTCCTCCGCTTCCCTCTCCGCCGTGCATCTGTCCTGCGATAGGGTGCCGGCCGCCGCCGTTGTCAGCATTTGTAAGCGCGCCTGAGTGGCGGACGGTCGATAGCATTGTGGCTTCCATCACCGAAGGCAAGATGAGCTCTCTTCGCGGGAATACGCAATCGACAGAAGTTGGAATTTCCCCCGGATGGGTGGGCCTTTTTTCTTTCGACGCGCGGCCTCGAACCCTGGCCATCACAGAAGAGAGCAGCGGCGAAGCGGAGCGTATTATGCTCGAGGAGGCTCCCGTCGGCAAAAGCTCTTCGGAACTTTGAGTTTTTTTCTCTGCTTCGAACGTGCGTCGACCGGGTGCTTCACCCGTTACCCGGCCCTGAGCCCCCGTCTATCCCGAGACACGATCGCGAAAAATACAACTTTGCAACTGCCCTCCTGAGAGCGAGAAGAATTAGGAGTTTCTCTGATATCAAATGATGCACGGGGACGTCCTGCATCCGAATCGCCTATTTTCCGCTTCTTGATACCTCGCTCGACGTATTTTTACCCAGAAGTTCGCAGCGGCGCTTCGTTCGTTGTCCGTTCAGGAGGAAATGCTCATAAGAGAGATTCTCACAGGGGAGTCGCTCCATACGGGCCCGAAAAAGAGGAAATTAGACTCCAAGAGAACTTCCTCGGAGCCAATTAGCGGGAGCATCGTCGCTTGGCGGACGTCGGGAAATCGACGGTGGAGAACGAGTCCATCCAGCGTGATTCCGGAGAGTCGGATCTGGGCTTTCGGAAGACGAGTCGCGACTCTAATCTCGGGAAACGTTTACCCTACTCTTCGGGACCCAAATACCAAATATCACGTTCGAGTGCGACTCCGATGTTCTAGCCTCGAGTCTGTTATATCAGTGATGACGCCGATCTGGCAAAAGAAACCGCTCCCGACGACAACGCCCACCAAGCCATCGAGCAATGCAGTCAGCGCAAGCGAGCGAGAAGGCAAGCGAGCCGGCGAGTAACCAAGCATCCAAAGCAATACGAGTCGGGCAGCGTTCACTTGACCGAGTCGGTGTTTGAATCCCGTCCCGAGCTGTTGATGTTGTTCTTGTCGGCGACGATTTAGCAAGCTTTGTATCCCGGCCGGCTAGGCGCTCGCTAGTTCATTAGCCCAGACGATCTAGTTGGCATTGGTCAGAGGCTACTGACGGATAGAACCAACCGCCGAACCGACCAAAACGCCGCCCATGGGAACGCGTGCCTCATTCGGCTTTACCTCCTTCAAATCGCTAGATTTCAGTACGGACGACCCAGGAGCGGAGGGGATGCAACTCAATTGGACGGAATGCGCCAAGAGGACGAGCGGCCAGATAATCGGCTCACCGAGATCAACGAGCTCGACGCGGAAAGTCCTTGACTCTCTGAGATGACTCCGAATTTCCGCTCACGAGTTTCCTGGTTCCCATCGGTGCTCGTATCGCTCGCTGGAGAAATTCTGGTACCGTGTTCCGAAGATCGCGGCGACCAATATCGGATCAAGGATCTCTCCCGCATGGAAGCGAAACAGCTTAGACTGTCGAAGACAATAAATTTCTCATCTTTCTTCAAGAGAGTGATGACATTAGCCACCGATAACATTCAACGCCGAAATGCTAATCCCAGACAAGGAAACGAAGAGAGCCGCTTACGCTCCGTATGGCGGAGTGTCGTAGATCAGTGAGAGCAGCAACGCGCACAGACAAAACCATCGGTTGTAGCTTTCTTCCCTCTCTTCCAACGACAGGACGCGTTGAATCGTGACTTTCATTTTTCCCTGGCAGAGTCTTCCAGCTGGATAGTTCGCCGAGTTGGCGAACAATCGCAAAAGCGTCTCGTTCGTGAGCTGGCCGCCGCAGTGGGTTGGACACAGAGTGAC